TCTGCTGATGGGCATCTAGGTTGCTTCCATGTCCTGCCTATTATAAACAGTGCTGCGATGAACATTGGGGTGCACATGTCTCTTTCAGATCTGGTTTCCTCAGTGTGTATGCCTAGAAGTGGTATTGCTGGGTCATATGGCAGTTCTATTTCCAGCTTCTTAAGGAATCTCCACACTGTTTTCCATAGTGGCTGTACTAGTTTGCATTCCCACCAACAGTGTAAGAGGGTTCCCTTTTCTCCACACCCTCTCCAGCATTTATTGCTTGTAGACTTTTGGATAGCAGCCATCCTGACTGGCGTGTAATGGTACCTCATTGTGGTTTTGATTTGCATTTCTCTAATAATGAGTGATGTTGAGCATCTTTTCATGTGTTTTTTTGCCATCCATATGTCTTCCTTGGAGAAATGTCTGTTTAGTTCTTTGGCCCATTTTTTGATTGGGTCATTTATTTTTCTGGAATTGAGCTGCAGGAGTTGCTTGTATATTTTTGAGATTAATCCTTTGTCTGTTGCTTCATTTGCTATTATTTTCTCCCAATCTGAGGGCTGTCTTTTCACCTTGCTTATAGTTTCCTTTGTTGGTATCACAACTTCTTTATCCATTCACCTGCCAATGGACATCTTGGTTGCTTCCATGTTCTAGCTATTGTAAATAGTGCTGCAGTGAACATTGGGGTACATATGTCTTTTTCAATTTTTATTTCCTCAGGGTATATGCCTAGGAGTGGAATTTCTGGGTCATAGGGTGGTTTTATTCCTAGTTTTTTAAGGAATCTCCATACTGTCTTCTGTAGTAGCTGTATCAATTTACATTCCCACAAACAGTGCAAGAAGTTTTGCCTCATCCACCATATTCATCTGACCTCACACCAACCTACTCGCACTTCTTCAAGCATATCAACAACTTTTTGCAAGGAAAACACTTCCACAACCTGCAGGATGCAGAAAATGCTTTCCAAGAGTTCATCGAATCCTGAAGCATTTATGCCACAGGATCAAACAAATTATTTCTTGTTGACAAAAATGTATTGATTGTAATGGTTCCTATTTTGATTAATAAAGATGTTATTAGAGCCTAGTTAAAATAATACACACACAAAATTCATGGTCTGAAACCGCAAGTATGTTTGCACCAATCTAATAATAGGCCTTGCTAGAGAATCAGTGCCCACTCCTGAATCAGTCCCTTTGGCTAGAGAATGCTGTATTCTTTTTGGCCAAGCCAGATTCATATGCCCTTTCCTAGAGGTAGTGGGTGAGGTCATCCCTTCTGAACACATGGACTGGGAGCAGAGTAGATCCCCAGAGGAAAACTGGGGGTGTCATGTTGAAAAAAGAAATTGATATTTTGGAGACAGAAAAATATTCCACTAGGTGCCTCAGGATAGAGGTAGGGTGGTGGTCAGCTAACTGACACAATTCTTGGTGCTTCTACATGAATTAAGGGAAATAAGGGCAATGCCAAAGAATGTTCAAACTACTATACAGTTGCGCTCATTTCACATGCTAGCAAGGTAATGCTCAAATCCTTCAAGCTAGGCTTCAACAGTACGTGCACCGAGAACTTCCAGAAGTACAAGGTGGATTTAGAAAAGGCAGAGGAAACAGATCAAATCGCCAGCTTGCTTTGGATCATAGAAGAAGCAAGGGCATTCCAGAAAAACATCTGCTTCATGGACTATGCTAAAGCCTTTGACTGGGTAGATCACAACAGACTGTGGAAAACTCTTCAAGAGATGGGAATACCAGACCACCTTACCTGCCTCCTGCAAAACCTGTGTGCAGGTCAAGAAGCAACAGTTAGAACCAAACGTGGAACAAAGGACTGGTTCAAAATTGGGAAAGGAGTACGTCAAAGCTGTATGTTGTCACCCTGCTTATTTTACTGCTATGCAGAGTACATCATGGAAAATGCCAGGCTGGATGAAGCACAAGCTGGATTCAAGATTGCCGGGAGAAATATCAGGAACCTCAGATATGCAGATGACACCACCCTAATGGCAGAAAGTGAAGAGGAATTGAAGAGTGTCTTGATTAAGGTGAACAGGAAGGGTAAAAAAGCTGGCTTAAAACTCAGCATTCAAAAAATGAAGATCATGGCATCTGATCCCATCACATCATGGCAAATAGATGAGGGAAATTTGGAAACAGTGACAGATTTTATTTTCCTGGGCTCCAAAATCACTGTGGATGGTGACTGCAGCCATGAAATTAAAAGACACTTGCTCCTTGGAAGAAAAGCTATGACAAACCTAGACAGCATATTAAAAAGCAGAGATATCACTTTGCTGACAAAGGTCCATATATTCAAAGCTGTGGTTATTCCAGTAGCAATGTATGGATGTGAGGGTTAGACTATAAAGAAGGCTGAGCACCAAAGAATTGATGTTTTCAAACTGTGGTGCTGGAGAAGACTTGAGGGTCCCTTGGATAGCAGGGAGATAAACCAGGCAATCTTAAAGGAGATCATCCCTCAATTTTCATCGGAAGGGCTGAAGCTGAAGCTGAAACTCCAATACTTTGGCCACCTGATGAGAAGAATCAACTCATCAGAAAACACCCTGTTGCTGGGAAAGATTAAGAACAGGAGGATAAGGGGGCAACAGAGGATGATCTGGATGGATGGCATCACAGAATCAATGGACATGAGTTTGAGCAAATACCGGGAGATAGTGATGGACAGGGAAGCCTGGTGTGCTGCAGTCCCTGGAGTCACAGAGTCAGACACAACCTAGCAACTGAACAACATTGCAGTGTTTAAAGAGAAGGCGAGCGATCTCGGCTGCGGCGGGAGAGGTGGTCGGGGAAGTAGGTACCTTTGACTGAACTGCCGGCTGCGCCACGTCTGTCCGCTCCGAGGCGGGAAGCGCCTATTCCCCAGGACATCAATGCAAGCCTGAATTGAAAAAAGAATTTCTCCCTCCTAAGCCATGGCATATCAGTTGTATAGAAATACCACAGTGGGAAACAGTCTTCAGGAGAGCCTCGATGAGCTTATACAGTCTCAACAGATAACCCCCCAACTTGCCCTTCAAGTTCTACTTCAGTTTGATAAGGCTGTAAATGCAGCATTGGCACAGAGGGTCAGGAACCGAGTCAACTTCAGGGGCTCTCTAAATACATACAGATTCTGCGATAACATGTGGACTTTTGTATTGAATGATGTTGAATTCAGAGGTGACAGAACTTATTGAAGTGGATAAAGTGAAAATTGTAGCCTGTGATGGTAAAAATACTGGCTCCAGTACTACAGAATGAGTAGAAAAAAGAAGTGGCTTTTTTAATGCCATCCTGTTACAGTTCATCACTTTTTGAAGAGAAGCATAGAAGAGACTTTTTTTTTTAATTTATTCTAGCATTGCAGAAATGACTACTCTATGCTATACTATCAGAGAATTCCAATAGAAAGAAGCTCATAACTCTGTACCCTCTTTAGTATACAGCATGAAAAAACAAAACTTTTTTTTTTTTAATGACAAATCAAACGTTGTTGCCTTCCTAGGACCGTTCCTTAATAAATTCACTTTAAAACTCAAAAAAAAAAAAAAGAGAGAAAGCAAGACCTCGCAAGGATTGTTAATTGCAGCTTTAAGTATGCTATCTTTCTTTTTTGTATGATTAAGCTCAGTTAAACTATACGTAATGAAAAGTAAAATACATAGAGCAACATCTAACCTTTCAGTTCTTTGAAGTAGTCAAGGCCAGCAGCATGCTGAGACGAGACTAGACTGTCATTACAGCTCAGTAACCATTAGCTTTTAAGCAGAAAGCTCAACTGAGGAGCACGAAGCAACAGGTAGAGATGCCTCAGAACTGTCAAAAAGTCTTATAGTCTCTCTCCAAAAAAGAGTAACTTTTCCGACTTGTATTAGCTTTTGTTAGTGTGATTCCATAAGGAGTCTTACCTCAGTTAAAGATAAACCTTTTTTCCTTCTGCCTTGTATCCCTGACCCCACTCCTTCTAAGAACCTCTGTCCTTGTAGCAGTTAAGCATCCTCGTAAGCAGAATATTCATACCCTTTGTCTCTTCTCACCCTTTTCAGGGTTGTATTTCTATGCTGTGGCCTTAAAATTTCAAAAGGGGAGAAAGCCTTTCAGGGAGCTCTGCTCATCCCGTTATACCCTTGAGTCCCCTTGGCGCTTGGATGAGGAAATGTTATCAGAAGAGTGCAAATGCAGGCTCAGTCAGCTCCTCTAAATACCTTTGAGGTATATATCTATTTCATATTACACAGTAGGAATTGTGTTTCTTCAGTATTGTAAAAACCAAATAAACAGGGGATATTAAATGTAAAATTAAGCAAAGACCATTTAGTTCTTGGAGGAAGAAGCATCAGTAGTCATAAGCCAGGAAGTAGAGATGGATTGCTTAATATAGATTTAAAACCCATGGTCTGCTCCTAATCTGATTCCTATCCTGGTTTGCAATTCCACTTCTGACATACAGGCTTCCATTTAGTTTCTGTGTAGCTGAGGAGTTCCTGGCTCCAACCCTTAAGTCACAGAAGCCAGAGCAAGCACAAGCACCACTTTATGCTCATGCTGAATGAGAACTAGTCAACCAGCCTAGAGATTTATGGGAAATCCATAGTTTTTGTCATGTTTAAGTGCTACATTGTTGTTACAGATAGTAGCTCAGTTTCCTCTTTGATTTTAATAATACTCTCTATTTAACCTATTTTTTTTAAAGGTATAGCAAATAGAACATGTCAACAGATAAATGCATCTTTAAGTTTCTTGGTTTTAGCCACCCCCAAATCAGGACAGCTTGTCCAGTTGGTCGGTTTGTAACCATTTTGCCAAAAATGCCTTGAATCTCTGAACAAAAGTTGGCAAGTCTTACCCAAAGCCTTTTAAAATGTACCATAGTCAAGGAATGGGAGAAGAAACAGCTATGATTTTATCACAACTGTTGTGTTATCTGCCCTTCCCTTCTTAATACCTGTCCTTTCTATAGCCCCTCCCCCTAGGTCTGGATGGAGGATACTTTAAAGTGAAATGACAGACCAGGAGAATAACAACAACATCTCAAGTAACCCCTTTGCTGCTCTTTTTGGCTCCTTGGCTGATGCCAAACAGTTTGCAGCAATCCAAAAAGAGCAGCTGAAGCAGCAGTCTGGTAAGTGGAGGAGCCGATGGCAGTGGATGGGATGACCTAGAATGGGGTCTTCCCAAATTAAGTATTCTTCGGGTTGTTAATTGCAACTGGAATTTATATTTAGGGCAGAAGTTGGTATTTTGTTCGTATTTTTTGTTTGTTTGGTTTGGGGGACTTCTCCCTGTCCTGTCCTTGGCTTAAAAAGACCAGAGAACAGGTGGTTCTGGAGTAACAGATGCCCATCGTGCTCCCAAAGCTGTCAAGCTTTCTTACTTTACAGATCACCTAGTGAAAGATACTTAACAAAGATGCTAAAATTTTTTTAACATAGGAAACTGAGGTTATAGTTGTAGGTGTGGAAAACAAGTCACATGCAGCTGTAGACAGCAGGTGTGTTAAAGGAAGACTTAGAGCTTTCTAGCCTGTAGAGAAATGAGATTTATTCTTAAACCCAGTGCTTCAGAGTCTTATCTCAAGCAAAATGCTTCTTTCATTACACTTTAATAGCTTACTGCTTTTAGAACAGACTTCTAGGAAAATCTGATCCTTACCCTTCATGAGAAGAAAATTAGGACAAGATCTCACTAATCAGAAAAGTGATTTTCCTCATCTGGGATCAAAATAAAGATCAAGTCTAGCTTCTTCCCCATAGGTAATATATGAACTAGAAGAATTAGGATGCTGTTTCCCAAATATGTTAGTTTTCTGAGGGTATGCACAAACTTTCAGGCCAGAAATTGCTCCCTTTTTCCTCCCTCCAAAAAAAATAATGGTGTTTTTATTTTTAGGAAAGGAGAAACATTTATACTTTGCCTTTATTTTGTTTATTTCAGAAGTGTTCAGATATGTACACTTACTTACGGCCTTACTCTCTGATTAGGATTGAATAAAAAGGAAGTAAGAGCAAGACAGATGAGTAGTAAACAGAGACGGATGAAACAAAGAAGAAATACATGGAATGCTGACCTTTTTAACATGATAGGAAGCGGCAGCTCTGAGTCTCAGTCTCTGAAAACTTTCCCAGATTTCTAAAATACAGGCTCAGAATGGGAACCCTTGGGTTAGGAGATTGTAGGAGATGAAGAGTGAGGAATTGAAATGAGGAAAGGAAATGAAAAAAAATTTTAAGTGTGTGGTTGAGGGAAATTTTGCTAATTAGCACCTGTCACTCTTGGAATTCAGAGGAGACCTTAATGGTATAGGAATAGAGCAACTGAACACTCATCCTTCTGGCCATAAACAGATGTAAGGCTGGCGAGGATTTGGAGCATTGCAGTGGGAACAAGTCAGGTGCATGCCCTTCTGTTATTATTTTGGCACTATCATCGTCTTAGTTTGTTTACACTGAGTTTGCCAGGTCACCAGGTCTAACCTGTTTTCCTCCAGCAGTTAGTACTCTAAGAAAACCTTTGACCTCCTGTATTGAGCTTCACTTTTGCTCAGTTCACCACACTGAAGCAACTCTTGTGTCTGAGAATTTTGCCCAGACTTTCAGAGTAACCATTTTATCATCAGAGGGAAAAAGCAGATACAGGCTTGCATGTGGCTTTTAGTGAGCAACACTGCATATACGCCCCTTCAGCATCAGTGCCATTCTGAGAAGCTCTCTTTTAAGTTGCTTTATAAAAAAGTAAAAAGATTCTATCAATAAGAAAAAAATAACTAATTGAAAATGGGGACAGTTTATATATACTCAAATTACTTTAAAAAATCCAATCTAGCTAATAATTAGAGAAATAGCCATTAAGACAACAATTAGATAGTTTTTAGTCTGTGCAGTTTGTGAAGCTTTAAACAAGCACTCTCTCATATACTGGTGCTGCTGTTAGTTGCCAAGTTATGTCTGACTCTTTGTGACCCCCCATGGACTGTAGCCCACTAGGCTTCTCTGTCCATGGGATTTTCCAGGCAAGATTACTAGAGTGGGTTGCCATTTTGTTCTCCAGGAGAGGATCTCCAGGGGATCTTCCTGACCCGGGGATCTTCCTGACGCAGGGATCCAACCTGCTTTGTAGGTGGATTTTTTTACCACTGAGTACTGGTGAAGCCCCATATACTCGTAGCCATGTAAATTAGAGTAGTTTTGGTTTTCTTTTTTGCTACATGAGGTCCAGCTGTGGCACACAGGATCTTTAGTTATGGCATGTGGGATCTCCTCGAGAAGGAAATGGCAACCTACTCCAGTATTCTTGCCTGGGAAATCTCATGGACAGAGGAGCCTGACAGGCTACCACCCTTGAGGGTCACACAGAATCAGACGTGACTTAGGGACTAAACAAAAACAACAAATGTGGGATCTAGTTCACTAACCAGGGATTAAACCCTGGCCCCCTGCATTGGAAGCATGGAGTCTCAGCCACTAGACCACCAGGGAAATCCCAGAATAGTCTTTCTGAGAGTAATTTGGTAGTACATATATGTTAACTTTTAAATATTCAGGCTTTTTAATCTAGCAGTTCTGCTTATATGAATTTATCCTACAGAAGTATTCATACAAGTGCACAAAAATAATAAGTTACATGTGGTACAGTGTTGTTTGAAATCATGAGAAATTGGAAACAATCCAAATGTCCATCAGTTGAGAAGTCACTACATAGATCATATTTTGTGCATTCAACGTAATACAGGGCAGCTATTGAAAAGAATGAGGTTGGCTTATAAATGACCTAATAGAGAGGTATTGGTGCTGATTAAGTTTAAAAAGCAAGGGAATTCCCTGGCCGTCCAATGGTTAGGACTCTGTGCTTTCACTGCCAAGGACCTAGGTTTGATCCCTGGTGAGGGACTAAGATCCCACAAGTCAAGCATCACGGCCAAAAAATAAATAAATAAAAATTTAAGAATAAGAAAAATGTGTTCTCTTAAAATGAGGGAAAAGCCATATATTTAATATAATTAAAGGCATGTTGATCTATTAGATAATTCTTTGCTCACTATGATTCTGTAGGGAAGATAGTATTGCTACTTTTGGCATTGTGGAATACAATTAATTATGAGTAGAAAAAATAAAACTTAGTTTTTGAAATATGGTAGATTTTATAACCAGCGATTTCAGAATTCTGTACTTAAGATGTTTCCTGATACAACTCAATAGCAAAAAACCCAAACAATCCAATTTAAAAATGGGCAGAGGATCTGAATGAACATTTTTCCAAAGATGACATATGGATGGTCAACATCTGCATGAAAAAGTGCTCAACATTATTAACCAGGGCAATGTAAACCAAAACCACTACACGCTTGTTAGAATGGTTATTATCAAAAAGACAAGAAATAACAGGTGTTGGCAAGGATGTGGAGAAAAGGGCACCCTTGTGCAGTGTTGGTGGGATTGTAAGTTGGTTCAGCCACTGTGGAAAATATCAGCATGGAGGTTCCTAAAAAAATTAAATACAAAGCTACCATATGATCCAGTAATTCTACCTCTGGGTATTTATCCAAAGAAAACAGAAACACTAATTGGAGAAGATATATGCACCCCCATGTTCACTGCAGCATTATTCAGGTGGATAGTAGATGGGCTTTGAGGGCATTGTGCTGAGGCAAATAAGTCAGAGAAAGACAAATACCATATGATCTCACTTATATTGGAATATTTAAAAAAAAAAAAGCTATTAGATACAGAGACTAGATTAGGGGTTGCCAGAGGCAGGGGTTGGAGGTGACAAAATGGGTGAAGAGTTTCGAAAGGTACAAACTTCCAGTTATAAAATAGTCATAAGGATTCACTGAACAGCATGGTGACTGTAGTTAACAATACTGCATTGCATGTGTATTTGAATGTTGCAAAGAAAGTAGATCTTGAAAGTTCTTACCACAAGAAAAAAAAATTGTAGCTATTTATGGTGACATAGGGGCTTCCCAGGTGGCACTAGTGGTAAAAAACCTACCTGCCAATGCAGGAGACAAGAGACATGGGTTCAGTCCCTGGGTTGGAAAAATCTCCTGAGGGAGGGCATGGTAACCCACTCCAGTATTCTTGTCTGCAGAATCACATGGACAGAGGGGCCTGACAGGCTACACAGTCCATGGGGTCGCAAAGAGTTGGACACAACTAAAGTGACTTAGCACGCACACAGATACCGTGACAGATGTTAACCTGATTTATTGTGGTGATCATTTAACAATATATACAAATATTGTCATGTACACCTGAAACAAATATATGTCAGTGATACCTTAATTAAAAAAATACAAGATGTTGCCTGACTTGAGATGTTCACAAATAAGTTAACACCCAAAATTAAGCTCCCCCCCTTGGTGATATTTATCATGTATACTTGGTTTGCTCTTCAAGAGAGGATTGTAACTGTTAATGACTTACATTTTCTGGCAGATGAACTCCCAGCCAGCCCAGATGACTCGGATAATAGTGTGTCAGAGAGCCTGGATGAATTTGATTACTCTGTGGCTGAGATCAGCCGCTCATTCCGTTCACAGCAGGAAATATGTGAGCAACTCAACATCAATCACATGATCCAAAGGATCTTCCTCATCACTCTGGACAACAGTGAGTTACAGATTTACAGCCAGTGGATTCACTTCTCTGCCTTTCCTGCTTGGGCTAGGGATTCACTCTTAGAAACTTACTGTATCTGATGGTTAAACAAACCCACCAAACTCCCAGGAACACAGGGTTTATTTATATTTTCAAGGAAGCTTTTGTTAAAGCAGTATTTTGACAGACATACAACTTTTATTTCTGTTTTGATACTGACTGGACAGTGTAGCTGCTGCTGCCTTTTCTACTTTAAAAGGGCTGTGGGAATGGTAGCTAAGTGTGTTTTCTTCTCAGAGGTGATCTAAACATTTTGATGCAAGCCCCAAGAAGAATTAGATAGTGTTTCCCCTCCGTGCCCTGTCTGTAGTTAAACCCCCAAACTACTGCTGATGTCTGGGATTTACTCTTTAAATGTCATGATGTTAGGTTTATAATAAAGCATGTGTTCTTTGGGGTGGGGGTGGGCAGGTTAAATCTGTAGATACTGTTCTCTGTGTCAAGATCACTCTGATATTACCTGAGTCAAACTTCAGATTCGAGAGAAATGCTGTCAAGATCAGTTGTCTATGTAAGGCAGAAGCATTATCCTTAACCTATCAGACTAAAACCATTTCTCAGGTGACCCAAGCCTGAAAAGTGGGAATGGCATCCCCAGCCGGTGTGTGTATTTGGAAGAAATGGCAGTAGACCTGGAAGATCAAGACTGGCTTGATATGAACAACGTAGAGCAGGTACCATTCTTCCATTCCTTACATATGCCTTCAGTAAAAATCAGCCATGCAGCTGAATTCTGCTCTCCATTCTCCAACCATGGCTTTCTTAGCTCTGTCTCTTAGGCTGTCTGTGTTGTCCCTCTTTTGGATCTGCTCATCTACCCATGGTCCCATGTCCAAATCTACCCATCTTGCAAGACACAGTTAACAAGTCATCCTGTTTACAAAGTTTTGCCAGATATAAGTTGTTATTTTCTCCCGGGGTTCTTACAGTAATCTCTTGCATCTCTTATAAGAATTGTCTCTTTCCATCCCATGTAGTGGTTTCTTTATGTACCTCTCTTCTCTGTCCCATGGACACTTAACTTATTGAGGCCAAGGCCCCTCTCTCTCTTTATATCTTTTTCAAAATCAAAACTACATTCTACCTTACAAGTGTTTAATTAACATTAAACGGATGAAAGTTTGATAGGGAAGACACTTGACAACATGTAGTTTGACTTCACACATTTAAACTGTCTATGTAAAGTCTGAGTGAAAGAAGCAGTCATGAAGAGGAGTAGATTCCGCATATAAGTTTAATCTCTCATTCTCCACACCATTCAACAAATATTCTTTTAATGCTTACTCTGTGCTTGGGGCTATGCTAGACACTTAAGCTTGCTTTAGGATAATGATATAAACAATCAAATTTGTATACATAATTTTTTTAATTGAGGAATAATTGCCTTACAGTGTTGTGTTGGTTTCTGCTATACAACTGTGTGACTCATCTATAAATATTAATATACATATATCCCCTTCCTCTCTAGCCTTCTCACCAACCCTCCCCATCCCACCTCTCTGAGACTGAGCCGAACTCCATGTGTTATACACAACTTCCCACTAGCATTTTATTTCACACATGGTAGTGTGTGTATGTCAGTGCTACTCTCTCAATTCACCCCACTTCCCCCTTCCCCCCTCTGTGTCCACAAGTTCATTTTCTGTGTCTGCATCTATATTCCTGCCCTTTTTTCCCTTTTACATTCTGTGATTCTCATAATTACCTGTGTCAAAATTATCATTTATGTCTTGATGTTCTAAAACTAACTTTGCAGTGGACAGGAATGGAGGTAGATAAATCAGGAGTTTGGAATTAACAGATACACACTACTGTGTGCAAAATAGATAAACAACAGAGACCAACTGTATAGCACAGGGAACTATATTCAATATCTTACAATACCTATAATAGAAAAGAATCTGAAAAAGAATAGATATGTATGTGTATGTGTAACTAAATCACTTTACTGTATACCTGAAACTAACACAACATTGTAAATCAACTATACTTCAGTAAAAAAATAAAGAAAAATGTAAAAGTAAGTTAACTTTGCAGTGATTTAGTATTTTTATTTGTTTTTCCTAATAGGCTGTCTTCACTCGCTTATTACTTCAAGATCCAGGCAACCACTTGATTAACATGACTTCTTCTACAGCATTGAATCTCTCTGCTGATCGAGATGCAGGGGAGAGGCACATTTTTTGTTACCTTTATTCCTGCTTTCAGAGAGCCAAGGAAGAGGTAAAGGAATCATTGCCATTAAGTACTCCTGGGTATGACGTAACCCAGAGAATTGGATCAATGTCTTTTATATTAATTTGTATACATCATAGTGTATCTGGAACATAGTGTATCAGAGGTCCTGTTAGTTTGTTTCCTGAAGTTTTAATCTCTCCTTTTCCATGGCTTGGGGTCTTCCCCTTCCCCAATTAACAAGTACCTCTTATTATTCTTTCTACAAAAGTCTTAAAAAAAAAATCACACCTTTATAAAAAAAAAAAGATCTGATAAATTTATTTCTACTGAGGTTTATGTAACAGAGTAGACTAAGCTTGATCACTTCCAGCAGTAGAATTTCTAAGAGGTGATTGCTTAACCCAAGGAATGAACTCTCATGGCTTTTCAAGCATCCACAGCAAAGCCATGTTGTTTTGGGACAGAGTATCTTTCCCCTTCTGTTTGCTGTATCTGCCCTTGTGCCAGCTCACAGAGCTAGCATCTTCCCTCTCTTTGTTGCTGTTTCCAGATTACCAAAGTTCCAGAGAACCTGCTACCCTTTGCAGTACAGTGCAGGAACCTCACTGTGTCCAATACCCGAACAGTCCTTCTCACCCCAGAGATCTATGTTGACCAAAACATCCACGAGCAGCTGGTAGATTTGATGTTGGAAGCCATCCTAGGAGGCAGTGAGTACATAAGCAAGATCTGTGAGCGTCTGCATTTGATTTCTGTAACATTCCTCTGGTTGCATTAAAAAGCCACAGAGCCACTATGGTTCCAGCATAAATGAATAAAAAGAGCTCACCCCTTGACCTTTGGGTTTCAATACCAGTAGAATTATCAAAAGTTCAACAGAGTAAAGAGCTGTGTGTAAAGGCATATAGAAATTCCTTTGGCCTCCTCTCTCTCGTTTGTCTCCCATCAGATTTTGAAGGTGTAGCTGAGTTTCTGGATGAGGTCATCGAAGCCTTGATATTAGATGAGGAAGTTCGAACATTTCCAGAAGTCATGATTCCAGTGTTTGATATTTTATCAAGCCGAATCAAAGATCTAGAACTCTGCCAGATCCTGCTGTATGCGTATCTGGACATTCTTCTCTATTTCACTAAGAAGAAGGATATGGCCAAGGTAGGTCTGAAAGCTCACATGTGTTCAGTTGAGTTGGAAGTTTATGCTTCCCTGTCCTGAGGGCACTGTAATATTACCTATTGTATAAGAAAGGTACATTGGTTGTTACATAGTCTTGTTTCGTTTTGTTTTTTGGCTACGCTGTGTGGCTTGTGGGATCTTAGTTCCCCAGTCAGGGATTGAGCCCACGTCCCCTGCATTGGCAGGCAGATCCTTAACCACTGGACCACCAGGGAAGTCCCAGTTGTTGGATAGTCTTAACTCTTTGAAGCTCTCTCACCTCATCACTTAACTCATCATACAGACAACTGACTAGGACTTGTCTTTTCCTACAGGTTTTTGTAGACTACATTCAGCCCAAGGATCCAAGTAATGGACAGATGTACCAGAAGACCTTGCTAGGAATAATCCTGAATATCTCCTGCTTATTAAAGACACCAGGAGTCATAGAAAATCATGGCTACTTCCTGAACCCATCTCGTTCCAGTCCCCAGGAGATCAAAGTACAAGAGGCCAACATTCATCAGGTGGAGCTGTTTCCTGGTGCATTCCAGTCCCCAATCTCTTAAGTATTGTTTCCTCAAGAAGCAAATGCAGACAAAGCTGCTTGAGCCTTTTGGGAAAGCAGATTGATCTGGGTGACTCTTTGCCATAATCGTGTAAAGAAATGGCCCTCTTTTTAGCATGCGCTAAGAGCAGAGGACAGACCCTTGTCTGGGTCAGAATAAGCTGCTACTATTCTTTGCCCTGTGTTGTAGCACAGTCACCTGCTCTCGATTCTCATTTTCCTCACCAAAAGATTTCTTAGAACTTCAGCTCCTAAAATCTGAATGAACTCCAGCTTAAAAGCCAAATTGTTTTCCTTTTCCTCCTTTCCCCTATGTCATCTCTGTTTGGGCTTCCTAGCATAAATTATATGGTAGAAGTCTGGCCAACATAACGGCAATCAGTGGTTGGATTGGGGGCAGTTTAAATCTCCCATCATCACACCTTTCTAAAACAGAGGTTGGCAAATTATAGCAGTGGTCAAATCCAGCCTGCCGCCTTTTTTGTAAGTAGTTGTACTGAACCTAGCCATACTTCTGTGTATTGTCTATGGCTTGACTTTATGCCACAGTGGTAGAGTTGACTAGGTGTTACAGAGACCGTATGGCATGCAAAGCCGAAACTCGTTATCATCTGGCCTTCTGAAGAGAAAGTGTACCAACCCCTACTCTAAAGCTATGTAAATGCTAGCTGTAGTTGGGCAGCTCATCAGGAAGACTTACACATGCCCAGAATTATTATTATTATTTTTAATCAGAAATGGGGGGCAGGGTAAGGCACAAGGAGAGTAAGGGAAAGATCAGGATTCATGTATTTTTGGAAATTGCCAGTGGCTAAGGTTTGAGAGTAACAAATATTAGGATTGTGCAATTGGAATGTTCTGTGGTTGTGTTTTCTGGTTAAACAGTTCATGGCTCGGTTCCATGAAAAGATCTACCAGATGCTGAAGAACCTACTCCAGCTCTCTCCAGAAACCAAACACTGTATCTTGTCCTGGCTCGGAAACTGTTTGCATGCAAACGCAGGCCGCACCAAGATTTGGGCCAATCAGATGCCAGAAATCTTCTTCCAAATGTATGCCTCGGATGCCTTCTTTCTGAATCTGGGTGCTGCTCTCCTGAAGCTATGCCAGCCATTTTGCAAACCCAGATCCTCTCGGCTCCTCACCTTTAATCCTACTTACTGTGCCCTGAAGGAGTTGAATGATGAAGAACGAAAAATTAAAAATGTACACATGAGAGGTAGGGGGGAGCTGGTCTTCTCAAAACTGTGTGTATGTAACATAAGGCCTTCACTTCTATATCCTTTTCCACAAAGGTCCCTCTTTCTTAAAGAAGATAAAGCAAAAAGAAAAGCTATTATAAATTTTGAAAAGACAGACCTAAAAACTGATAGTTTTAGATGTTATGCTTTACTGAGACCTTCTATCTCAATTTGGCAGACTTGGATATTCAGTCATTCATTCATTCTTAAGTAAATGAGTAAAGGACAGCCCCTGTCCTTTTTGAACTCAAAGGCTCCAAAAGGAGGCAGATATGTTAACAGATCATCATAATATGGTCTAGGGCTAAGCTATAGGAATCCAGAGAAGGGAGTAAATGATGAATTCTGCAGAAGGTGGAGGTCTTCATAGCTGAGTCTTAAAAAATGTGTTGGGTTTATCAAACAAAGGAGTCCCTTTTATAGAGGAAATAACTATGAAGGTACAGAGCTGTGAAACAACTAAGGAGCAGTGGGAAGCTCCACATGGCTAGAACATGGGCAACTGGGGGAAGGGGTATGGAAATTGGCAGGAAATAAGCCTAGGGAGGAAGAATATTGAAGCCAAACTGGAGAAAACTCAAATAATACAGAGAAGTGAAAAGAAGGAAATAAACCACTCTTAGTCCTACCACTCGAAATGAATCACTCTTAATTATTATGTATTTCCTCCCAGTTTTTTAACTCTTCTAATTATAAAAGTAACACATGCTCAAAAGCAAATAATCTTATATACAGAAAAGTACAGAATAGTAACAAATGATTACCTATCTCCTGGGAAAATCTACAGTGCTATCTATCATTCCTTTTAATTTTTGGTGATTTCATGATCAAGCTAAAGAGATTTAACTGCATTTCTATAAACAGAAGCTAAAAGACATTTTTAGACCAATAGAGTAGGAATGTTATAAGATCTGTTTTTAAGAAGATATTAGTTCACTGGAAGCAGGGTGGAAGTTGAACTAGAATAAGGGGACACTGGAGCCAAGATAGATGTCTATGGCAAGACATTTACTCTTCCTTTTCCTTTCTTTGAGGTTTGGACAAAGAGACATGTTTGATTCCAGCTGTACGGGAGCCAGAGTTTCCCCAGAACTACAACCTTGTAACAGAGAACCTTGTCCTGACGGAGTACACCTTGTACTTGGGATTTCACAGGTAGCTCCTGTAATGTCATTGGGAAAGAACTGTTTGGTTGTGTTGATATCAGAAGGTTAAAAGTGAGTCTTATAACAATCTCACTTTATTCTGAAGGCCTACATTAGGATCTAATAGGAAAAGGGCATTATACACATTAATCTGTGTCTAGATCAACTGGCTTTATCCATGTACCTTGAATTTATTTTGCATTTTTGACCTGTTAAACTTTTTAAAAAATTAAAGATACACTATATTATATAAATATAGTGTAAAGATACACTATATATTTCTCTCCATCTGGACATTTTTAAATCACTGTCTTCCTTTTGTCATCCATACAAGTGGAATTTTCATTTAATATTTCACATTCTGCTCTTCAATTTTCATTACTTATTATGCCTGATGAAAAAGAGAAAGCTTTATTCTATGGTATAGAGAGACAAAATTGACAAAAATTAAAGAAATGTTTTAAGAGATTTCAGAACGATTATAAAATCTGTATCAAAGAGGATTCTGCATGTGTGAAAATTTGAAAGCTAAGATGTGTAACTTCTGAAAATGGTCTGGTTCTGGCTAACCGCATGTCATTCTGTGATTTTTTTCCCCCTCTGATTTAGCTGATTGTGACAAACATTTTATAAATAAGGGGTAAAAATAGCTACTCACTCATAGTTATAGTCTATAGGAAGGCATATTGAAGACAGGAATTTTTAATGGCTTTTTGGGAAACTTAAAATGACATAGCATTTTTCAAAGGTCATCAGATTTTTCAAAAAATGAAATTATATCTTTACTAGAGATACTTTCTCTCTCTGTCATTGATATTTTAAATGAGACAGTAGATAACAACTTACCATGTATTTATTAGCCTATTAAAACACAAAAATGAAAGTCTAGCTAACTGTAGACATCATCCACAGAGCCAAAGAGAATGAGTTTGAACTGTACACACAGACACAACTCTCCATGACATTGAACTCTGGGTCTTCCTTTCATTAGAGAACATTTGGATGACCTTTTTTGAAGAATCATTTAATTTTTATTGAACATCTGAGGACTGGAAGCTGCTGTTAGGTTGCATTCCAGGTGGCTTCTGGTTTATATGTGGTCATTGCTAATCTGCGAAGTGCCTGGTGGCTCAGTCTGTAAAGAATCTGCCTGCAGTGCAGGAGACTTGGGTTTGATCCCTGGGTTAGGAAGATCCCCTGGAGAAGGAAATGGTAACCCGCTCCAGTATTCTTGCCTGGGAAATCCCAAGGACAGAGGAGCCTTGCAGGCCTCAATCCATGGGGTAGCAGAAGTTGGACACGACTTAGTGACTAAACCACCACTATCATCACCACCATTGCTATTCTGAACTCTATTCTCACCAGCTTTAGTTCTCTACTAACCATGAAAAGACTGTCCATATACCCACATCCAAGTACAATTATTGCCTTTGGGTGGTGTCAAACTATCTTGTACTTTGTGTAATCATTATATATTGTACATAATAAAAGCCCAGTCTACACCCTGCTCAACCAAGCCACTATTCTTTGGATAGTGCATTTCAGCCAAAGGCAACTAACTATATGTTGAATATTTGGTAACATTTTCCCGGTGCTCTGCTCCCAGCCCCATCCTGTCAGTAACTTTTGTGACATCTGTGTCATCACAACCGCAGCCCTACATCCTAAAAGGGAATACTAGAATAAATATATGAGGATTTGTTTTTCAGAAACAGTCTGTACTCAACCATCTGTGTGTGAGCCTTCTGACCCAGTCTCTTCTGCTCTCTTGAGGGCAGGTTGCATGATCAGATGGTAAAAATCAACCAGAATCTGCATCGGCTGCAGGTAGCCTGGCGGGACGCTCAGCAGAGTTCCAGCCCTGCTGCTGACAACCTCCGGGAGCAGTTTGAACGACTGATGACCATCTATCTTTCTACCAAGACGGCCATGACTGAGCCGCAGATGCTGCAAAACTGCCTAAACTTGCAGGTGTCCATGGCTGTTCTCCTGGTTCAGCTGGCCATAGGCAACGAGGGCTCACAGCTGATGGAGCTGACTTTCCCTTTGCCAGATGGCTACAGTTCTTTGGCTTACGTGCCAGGTGAGCTGGCTTTCCCTTGGGAACTTCCTATTTATAGCCATCTGAGTTTAATTGGGTCACTTTGGAAGTATAATACTCAAAATATCCTACCTTAGCTATCATTCAGCTGTTTTTGGAGAAACAACTCAAACTCGTAGATAATGACTATTGGTCAGAGCCTCGGAGAACTGACAGCTGGTTCCTCAGTTATGTTGCCACTGCTCTGCAGATCAGAAAATAATCTTCAGAGGGTTAAGTGCAGTCAGGGTTTTCAGAGCTGTTAGTTTCTATCTTAATATCATTGGTCATTTGACTTATAAATTTATCTGTCTAACCCTCCCCGCCGTGCTAGTCTTTAGGGAAAAAAAAAGTCATCTCCTCTAGGTTAACCCAGAACGGAGAGTGTGTATGTCTGTTTTATTGATTGAGGGGTCAGCAGATATTGTCCATCAAATTTAGGTTATATTTTATTCTTTAATTTTTATTTTATCTTGGAATATAGTTGGTTTACAATACTGTGTTGGTTCTAGGTGTACAGCAAAGTGATTCAGTTATATATATACATACATACATTCTTTTTCAGAGTTTTTTTCCATATAATTGGGAAATTTCAGAAATTTCCTGTGAAATACAGTAGGTCCTTGTTGATTACCTATTTTATATATAGTAGTATGTATGTGTTAATCCCAAACTCCTAATTTATCCCCCTGCACTTCTTTTCCCCTTGGTACAAATTACATGCTCTTAATCCCAGTACTAATCATTGATTGCTGAGTAACAGATTACCCCAAACATAGCAACTTAAAACAACAAACATTATTACACACAGTTCCCTCAGGTCAGCAATCCAGGATTAGTTTAGCTGCATGGTCCTGACTTTGGTCTCTCATGAAGTTGCAGCCAGGCTATCCACCAGGGCCATGGGAATCTGAAGACTCGACCAGGGCTGGAGGATCTGCTTACAAGCCTAGTCATGTGGTTGCTGACAGATCACAGTTGCTTGCTGGCTTCTTTTCCAGGCCACACAGGACTCTCTTTAGTAACTATTCATGGTATGGCAGCTGGCGTCTCTCAGATCAGGGGACAAAAATGGAAGCTGTCGGCTTTTATAACCTAATTATGGAAATAACATGCCATCATTTCTGGAGTAGTGGAGGAGGAGATATACAAGGTCATAAATACAAGAAGGCTAGGATCAGTGGAGCACCCCAGAGACTGATGACCATAGTCATCTAATGTTTTCATCTCTATTCAAGATTCTTCATCTAAAGGGTTATTTTAACTCAGTTAACCTTGAGTGTGGAAGTATATATCCATTGGTGTACTTTCTTAAACTGCAGTGGTGTGTTAACAATGTTTTATATCTCTACTGTTCTTCTGTTTACTTGGATAAAACTAAAAATTGCCTTACATTCAAAGGAGGTTCTGCATTTTTTAACTTATCATCCTTCCTAGTACCTGCAAGACATTTGGGGTTCTTGTAAACCTTCACTAAGTAGAGTAAAAGAGAAGAATTTAAATACCGCATAATGCAGAGAGTCAGATGTTTGGCTAATTCCAGTGAAAATTTTCTTTCTCAGAATTTTTTGCAGATAACTTGGGCGATTTCCTCATTTTTCTCCGTCGCTTTGCCGATGACATCTTGGAGACATCGGCAGATTCCTTGGAACATGTCCTTCATTTTATCACCATTTTCACTGGAAGCATAGAAAGGTGAAGTGCTGAAAGCGTGGCTCTTGTCACAGTGCAGAGCTGTGAAACATTCAGAAGACTTCTAAGCCAAGAAATAAACAAGCCTGAATCATAAGGGGTTGCCTTCAGAAGTTGTGTTAACATTAATGAATCACCTGACTATCCTTATGAGTAGCCCAAAATCCCATACTTGAGAGGCATAATAAACAAAGGACTTTGCCCACAGAGAATTTGAACCTGCATGTAAGGTACCAGATGGGAATTCCCCTGCTAGTCCCTGGTTAAAATACTTAACCTTCATGCCGGAGAACTTGCCAGGCGCTAATGATCTTCTAATGTCTGATAACAGAGTTTGCTCTCTACAGTCCTGAATTGGATGAGCAGTAAACTTAGGCAAATGCTCTCTGATCTCAAGACTTACCATTCACAGCTTCTAGTCCTTTTTCCCAGAGGAAGATGCTCACTGACCTGTAGAGTTGCTTCTCTGATTTCCTGGTGGTGGTAGACCAAAGGAAACAATGTGTGCGTGAGAATTTTCTGTACAGAGCCACAGTCCCCTGAGCTGAGTCACTGAGACGTAGATAGAACCCACTCCTCCACTGAACTGAACGGGCCTAGGGAGAAATTCTAAACCAACAAGTGTCAGGCACACCTGGTATGCATTGTAAGTAATGTAGAATAATTAATTATATCCTGGTCCTTATCCCCAGAAAGCCTGGAAAGGCAAGTTTATCCCAGGTGAAGCTGTCAGAGAATAGTAAACAGTAAGTAAGACATTATTAAAGAGAAATAAACAGAGTGGCAGAGCATTAAATAGAAACTACTCACCCTTGTTATTAGTAAGCTGTGATCATAAGAGCTGAATGGTATACTCTGCACATCCCCAAGAAATTGACAGACTTAAAACTGCTCAGTCCTGTTTTCTCCTGTAACTCTCTGTACAGATAGTACAGATACTATATGATGATAGGATGTTTTGATTCCTCATGTGGAGAAAAACAGTTATAAATTTGAGAGTAAAGTTTTCTGCTTCCTCAGTTTGCTTTCTGCCCTATTCATAGGATGAAGAATCCCCACCTAAGGGCCAAACTGGCTGAGGTGTTGGAAGCAGTGATGCCCCACATGGATCAGACCCCAAATCCCTTGGTATCCAGTGTCTTCCACCGGAAACGTGTGTTCTGCAACTTTCCCTATGCATCCCACCTTGCAGAAGCTCTCATCAAGGTCTTTGTGGACATTGAGTTTACAGGTAAAGCAATCTAGAATCAAGAAGCTAATGCATCGCTTAATCAGTTTTTATATGGAAAATACCATAAGCCATCATTTACTGAATATCTACCATGTGCTACCTTAATGCTAAGTGCTGTTTTCACATTGTTTCCTTGTCACCACCTTGTTAAAATTTCCTTGTCAAAAATACAGGAAAGTTTTACTGTATTATCCCCGTTTCCCTATGAAGACACGGATGCTCAAAAAAGATTATTTGTTTATGTCATACAACTAAGTGGTAGAATCAAATCTGTCTCACTTTAAAAAAGAAAGACATATACTCCTAATAACTTTACTATATTTTTTGATAGACTCATATTCAAATAAATTGGGCTGTCCAGTTAAAACCTGAGACTTTATATTTTTCTTGCCTCAAAATTACAGAACGGTGACGAGTAAGACAGTGTGATTGACATATTCTTTTATCTTGTCCAGACAGTCTAACTCTCCTACAGTTTGTTAGATTAAGAATAACAGCAGGAAACATTCCCTAATTTCTCTCATGGCCTTTTGAGCTCTAACCCTGAGATGCTGTGTTTGAGTTAAGCAGTACCCCATCTCAACCAGTAAACAAGATAGCAAAGCAGTTATTTAAGACCCCTTTAAAGGGGTGTCCTACCATCCAGTGATAAATACAGGTAACATTAAAGCGATATTTAGCATTTTACTGACTGCTTTTCTGTATTAGAATTTGGACTTCATTACTTGCTTACCTCTGAGACTTACTTTCCTCATTTGTAAAATGGGGTTGAAGTGATGATTGAGATAGTATATGTAAATTTTAATTTTATATATATACATATATATGTATAAGAAGTTGCACAATAAACCCTGCAATTATCTCATTTTATGGCCACTACAACTCTTTGGTTGTAATACTAGAGGATGAATTATAAAATAATTATTTGTTTGGCTGCTCGGGGTCTTAGTTGTGGCTTGCAGGATCTTCAGTCTTTGTTGTGGCATGTGGAATCTTTAGTTGCAGCATGCAAACTCTTAATTGAGCACATGGGATCTAGTTCCCTGACCAGGGAATGAACCTGGGCCCCCTACCTTGGGAATGCAGAGTCTTAGCCAGTGGACCACCAGGGAAGTCCCAAGGGTGAATTATAACTGTTTTATTTTCTGAGAAAGTAGAAGTTGAAAAAGATTTAAGAGACTTGCATTAAGTGGAGCCAGAAGGAAAACGGAAGTCTTCTGACTCCAAGTCCCACACTCCTCCTTTATTATATGACCCAGCCTATAGAGCTCTAGTGGTACCTTTGGCATGTCAAAAGGTGTACAAGCCTCAGATTTTCAGCTCCTGGCCTGATTTTTCAGAGTAATCAGGACCCAGTTGGCCCCACAGTTGGGATGTTATCCATGAAGAATGTGGGGATTACTTAGTGACCCATGCTGCATGTGGCTGTCACTGCCACAATGGCGAGCTCAGAGGCCTCATTCAGAGTCAGATAAGCACTCTATGTTTGGATGTGAAAGCATTTGTTTCCCTTGGCTTTTATTTTGCAGCTCAGTCCTCATCCTTTTCTGGGGTCTGTATCCTTTATATCTGTCTCCTTCTTGTTCTGTCGATAAGGAAATAAGTTAACACTTGGCTACAACTCTAGATCTTTATAAACTCCCAGGACTGGCTTTACCAGTATCCTTAACACATTCAGAATTTTCTAAAAATGGCTACACATAGACATAGGGCTTCCCCAGTGGCTCAGAGATAAAGAATCCACCTGCCAATGGAGGAGACACAGGTTCAATCCCTGGGTCAGGAAGATCCCTTGGAGAGAGAAGTGTCAACCCACTCCATCTTTCTTGCCTAGGAAATCCCATGGACAGAAGAGCCTGGTGGGCTAGTCTGTGGGGTCACAAAGAGTTAGACAGGATTGATATCCATCTGTCCACACATAGACATAAGCTCATATTCTTTCTCTAATGGCACTGGCTTTGCTGATGTTTTACTCTACCTTACTCCAGGAGACCCCCATCAGTTTGAGCAGAAGTTTAATTACCGCCGCCCCATGTATCCCATCCTCAAGTACATGTGGGGAACAGATACCTATCGAGAGAGCATTAAGGTGAGAGTGTTTTTGGTGAAACCAAGACTGAGTTATCTTTGCTGCAGATAAGCCCAGTGGGTTGTGATTCTAGACTAAACTGGTGTTCTCTTGGGCTGGGTCTTACAGGATTTGGCTGACTATGCCTCTAAGAATTTAGAAGCCATGAATCCTCCACTTTTCCTCCGCTTTCTTAACCTGCTAATGAATGATGCCATCTTCCTTCTGGATGAAGCCATACAGGTAAAACAAACAAATTTAACTGTTCTTATACCATCATACATACTTTTTACCTCTTAGTCATAACAGAGCAATCCTTATGCCCCAAGTACCTATCTTGGACACCAAAATTTTGCAAGTAATGTACTGCCAACCTTGCTGTTATAGTTTGATAGATATTCTTCCGTTAGAGACCAAGATCAAGGGTCATCGAAGCCTTATGAGCTAGGATGAGATTTTGGCAGAATGGAAAAGCAAGTGTGAAAGAAAGGCCAGACTGGCCCAACTAATCAGTCTAGCACTACAGAAAGAAATCAGAGAATCTTCATTCTGTTAGTGACTTTCAGCTTTCTTCCATTGCAAGACATTGGTAACAGTGACCAACCAAAGCAATGATCCTTATCCCTCTTTCGTAAAAGACTCTGACTTTTATGCCACTATTTGAAAAAAGTCTCTGGTTTGGGTAATTTTTTTCACATAGAGACTCCAAATCATCAGTATTTTTCATTTGTCCACTGCTTCCCAAATCTTTAGGTCTATCTGAAACATGAGTTTTACAACATACACCAGAGGCCACTCAGCTCCTTCTGCTTAACCATATCTTGTGGAGCTGCCTCTTGCTCCTATAAAAATTCCCTTTATCTGCAACAGGTGTAAGACAGGGCAGTGACCAGGGGGGCAGAGCAGGTAAGTCATGAGGGTAGTCTGTTGGATAGCCCACACACTCCTCGTGTTAATTAGCAGCCTCCCAGTAACTTGCATTTAATTTGTGAAAAAGTGTTCCTCCTTTGATCATAATCCCATACTTGAAGATTTTTAGATCTGTTGCCTTAGAAAATAAGTCCTGTAATAAATGGACCTTTCTCAGCAAAATTTTGGTGTGACAGAACAAATGACACAGATAGCATCTCCATGGGACTATAAGCAAGACATGCTTGCTGCAACAGCAAGAGTGATGAGAAGTAGAGGGTTTTAAATATTTATGGTTCTCCTTCCAGACATCTTGCATATTTGATAGAGCTTTGTTTTTTGATAAGCAGTTTTGGGGGGTGGTTTTGTTTTCCTTCTTTCAGGAAGGGGTCAGCTTTTTTTCCCTGTAGCCTGTTTGCTTTTATCAATGTTTCATATACTGTTTATCCTCCTTTCTGTTTCATAGACTATAATATTTCCAGGGGAATAACCCATTACTCTTCCCAGACTGAGACAATGTTTCCACAGTTTCTTTTTTAAGAAAATGTTTAAAGGCTATGCCATGCAACATGTAGGATCTTAGTTCCCAAACCAGGAACCCATGCCCCCTGCATTGGAAGCACAGAGCCTTAAACAATGGACCACCAGGGAAATCTCGCCACAATTTCTTTTTAAACGTAATAAAGCCTCCTGTCTCTTTTGTAGTCCTTGGTTTTCCCAGCTTAGTGGACTAGATTTTAAATAGGACCTCTTAAATATCATCTTCCTTTCAATACACTTTGTCCTCTGATCCATTCCACCTCTGGTTTCTGTAGTATTTGAGCAAGATAAAGATTCAGCAAATTGAGAAGGACCGAGGTGAATGGGACAGTCTGACTCCAGAAGCCCGCCGAGAGAAGGAGGCTGGCCTACAGATGTTTGGACAGTTAGCACGTTTCCATAACATCATGTCCAATGAAACAATCGGTACCCTTGCGTTTCTGACATCAGGTAAGGACACAACATACTGCTTTCCCCAAAAATGCAGTGGTTAAAATCTGTTTCAGCTGAGGGATCAGCCCCGCTGAGGCTCTGGTGACAGTATCCTCCTCCACAGTCTGAGAGGAAGTGAATCACTAGAGAAGCTTCAGAAAGAATGTTGCCCACTGTTGACATGGAAATGAGGAAATGGTCACCCTCACACAGCTGCCAGAAAGCATAAGTCAGTGTCATTTTTCTTGAGGACAACATAGCCATAGAAATATACCTGGGGGTGTTTGTGTTGACTTGAAAAAATATCCTTGAACTCTGGTTAAATGTGGTAGATCAGAGACGTTTATCTCCACTCCCTCTGTAGCTCCACTGTCCAGTTCAGTAGCCACTCGTAACATGAGTCTGTCAAGCATTTAAACTGCAGCTAGTCAGAAATAAGATGTGCTGTAAGTAGAAAATTCACACTGCAAGACTTTCTATCTAAAAGTAAAAACTTCCATTAATAATTTATATTGGTTATATATAAAATGGGGGCGTCCCTGGTGGCTCTGATGGTGAAGAATCTCCCTGAAATACAGGAGACCTGGGTTGGGAATATCCCCTGGAGAATCCCACTCCAGTATTCTTGCCTGGAAAATTCTGTGGACAGAGGAGCCTGGCGGGCTACAGTCCATGAGGTCACAGAGTTAGACACAACTGAGTGACTAAGCATACACATACATACATGAAATGACAACCAAGGATCACCAGGCATTTGAGAAAATCCTCTTAACACAAATAATAGCCAAAAACGCCTCAGATATCTTTGTAAGTCTCAGAGGGATGAAAAAAGATACAGCATACATAAGACAAGAACAAAGAGGCAATACCAGAGATTATCCAAAGAACAAGAGCTCTTGAATATTGAAAATACAACTTCAGAAATTTTGAAAAGTCAGTAGGACAGTTAGAAAATAAATTCACAGAACTCTTCAATGAAAGCAGAACAGAAAAAAAAAAAGATGGACATTAGAAGAGAAAGAAGAAGAAAATATCAATCTAGAAAGTCTCAAAAGAGAAAAATGAAAGGGAGCAAAGAAATAATACCCTCCAAATTCCCCAAAACTAAGAGGTTCTAAATCAGAAAGGAGCCCCCAAGTGCCCAGCACAGGGAATCTTCAAGACCCCCACACTAAGGTATATCATTGAGGTGTTTTAGAAAATCAGAGTAAAGAGGAGATCTTAAAAGGTCCCCGAGAAAAATCAGGTAATGTGCAATGGTTTAAGCATCAAAATGTCTTCGAATATCAAACAGTGACATTTGAAGCTGTAACACAGTCCTGATGGAAAATCATCTTTTTAGCCTAGAATTCTATAGCCAGCCAAACTGTCAATCCTGTTTGAGGGTAAATGTAAGGAAATTTTCAGAGGTGACGGTATCAAATTTACTTCCAGTGTACCCTTTCTTGAGAAGCTACAGAGAGATAGACATACTCCATGAAAATGGAGGAGGAAAGTGGAATCCCTCAGAGACATACAAAGGAAGTCCCAGGCTGATGGAGGTAGCCTGTGTGACCACCACACTGCAGGCCTATAAAATTGGAGTCCAGAGTGGAGTGATGGATGGAAACTTCCAAAAAACATCTCAAAAACTGTTTTCGAGAGTTCTTCATTTCTGGTGGAGAATTTAGAAAGATTTAATGATAGGTACTCTGCAAGTAAGCAAAAAAATAATTAAAATTTTTATTAAAAGTATTCCCACTGTCAGCTCACTGGAGAAGGAAATGGCAACCCACTCCAGTATTCTCGCATAGAGAATCCTGTGGACAGAGGAGCCTGGTGGGCTGCTGTCTATAGGGTCGCACAGAGTCGGACACGACTGAAGCAACTTAGCATGCATGCATGCCTTGGAGAAGGAAGTGGCAACCTACTCCAGTATTCTTGCCTGGAGAATCCCAGGGATGGAGGAGCCTGCTGGGCTGTCATCTGTGGGGTTGCACAGAGTCAGACATGACTCTATCGACTTAGCAGCAGCAGCACTGTCAGCTGGAACTAGTTACTGAACAAAGAGACCTCTGCCCCAATTCCCAAGAAGTATCTTGAGCATGAAGTCTCTGAGTTGGGAGTTGTTAGGGGAAACACATTGACTGAAACTGCCTGCCCTGGCCAGGCACCATAGTAGCAATTAGCGTGAGTTATTTTATGACAGGAGGTCCTGGTAAGGAGCATGGAACTAAACTACCACCAACCGGAAGAATTTGAGAAAGGTCAAAAGGAGATGCCATGTGCCCTGCCCCCTCCAAGAATCCTTCTCCCTGGCATCCATCTTGACTAAGCAATGCATGTGCCACCAGGAAGGACCCTGAGTCAGAATGATGGGCCAGAGAAAACCCATGAACTAATCTCATCACCATAAAACCTTAGACTGAGCCACATGGCAGAGCAGTCCTCCTGGGTTCTCTTACCCTCCTGCTCTCCGCCCATGCACCCCTTTCCAATAAAGTATCTTGCTATATCAGCAAAAAAAAGGTATGTGTGTATATATATATATATATATTATTATTTATATAATTTTTAGAATACTGTGTGGCTCTGCTGTGATATTTTCATGCTCTTAATGAAAAATCTAAATTATTTCTCCAAAGATCTGCTTATATATTAGGGAAATTTATATTAGGAGAAGAGGGACAGGAATATGAACTAAACTCTCACCAGTAGTAGAGTCAATATATAATGACTAAAATGGAAAAATTAAGAACCAGCAATACTAAACAAGCTGTACTCTACTTGGCTTGTGCACTTGGCATGTATGTATGTATTTTGAAATTAGTGACCTAGCAGTCAGTTTCTTACAGATTTGTTATAGGATATAATAAGTCTTAAAAGGTGTATGTAAAAAATAAAATAAATAAATAAAAGGTGTATGTATACACACTGAAGTTCATCAATTAGTATAATACTTTTAACAGGAAAAAAATTAAAACAATCATAATATCCAGCAACAAAGGTAGAGTAAATAAATAATTCATGGTGCAATCATATGTGGTTGTTAAAAAGGGTATAAATCATCACTATCCTATAGTACTTTATATGATTGTTGTTTATTTGCTATGTCATGTCCAACTCTTTACCCCCAATGTAGCCAACAAGGCTCCTCTGTCCATGGAATTTCCCAGGCAAGAATACTAGAGTGGGTTGCCATTTCCTTTTCCAGGGGATCTTCCCAACCCAGGGATCAAACTCACCTCTCCTGCTTGGCAGGCCGATTCTTTTCCACTGAGCCACCTGGGAAGCCCACTTTATGTGACAGAAATGGGTAAATCTACACTGTCCAGTACTGTAACTACTGGCCACACGTGGCCATTGAACACTTGATATGTGGCTAGTATACCTGAGAAACTGGAGTTTTCTACTTAATTTTAGTTAATTTAAATAGCCACATGTGGCCCGTGGCTGCCATGTTGGACAGCACAGGAACCTATAAATGGTAAGATATTTATGATACTGTTAATGAAAAAAGTTACAGAGTATATATAATATGATAGTCACTTTGTTTTAAAAATGTCTATGTAAAAAAAAAGTATATGTGTATAAATATGGACAGAAAAGCTAGGACATATTAGCAAAATGGAACTAGTGTTTACTGTGAGTGGTTATTTTTGTATTTTGTTTGCTTTGCTTATCTAATATTTTCTAATATTACTGCAGTGAAAATGTATTTCAAAATTGCTTTCAAAAAAAGCAGTCCCCAGAGGTCTCTAAGTAAAACTCTAGGACACAGTAAGTTGAAGATTTCTAGGGGATTGGGTTTTCACAGGCTTTGGCTTTTTTTCCAGAGATCAAGTCCCTCTTTGTACATCCTTTCCTGGCCGAGCGCATCATCTCCATGCTGAACTACTTCCTGCAGCACCTGGTTGGCCCCAAGATGGGGGCCTTAAAAGTCAAGGATTTCAGTGAATTTGACTTCAAACCCCAGCAGCTCGTTTCAGATATCTGCACCATCTACTTAAATCTTGGGTACGTGAGATTTAAATGGGGCAGGCTAGAGGGGTTGCTCATGTTTTAACTGGGGGTTTTGCTAGTAGAATGAAATAACTAGCTGATAATTATGTGGAAGTAGAAAAGATTTGTTTCTAGCTGGCTGACAAAGTAGTCTTCTGCAGTTTTAAATCATGAGATTTCGTATGACCTGTGGGATGTTATTTAGAATTTCCAGCATTCTGCCTTGATCTGTTCAAAGATAAACTTTACTAATTGTTTCATTGTTTAGTAAAGCAGTACTTTTTTTTTTTTAACAGTATATTTTTATGGTCACCAGACACTTGATAAGACTTCCTTCATAAAAATTAGAAGAGATCATTCTATAACAAAAGAACATTCACGATACCTAAGTGATGGGGAACTTTGTTCCTCAAGCCCTCCGTTATTGCCCTCTTTGATCTACCCTCTGATGCTTAGTTTCTTTCTGATGCTGACCTTCCAGGGACGAGGAGAATTTCTGTGCCACTGTGCCCAAGGATGGCCGTTCCTATTCCCCAACTCTCTTTGCACAGACAGTCCGAGTCCTGAAGAAAATTAATAAGCCTGGGAATATGATTGTGGCTTTCAGCAACTTAGCAGAGAGAATCAAGGTGAGGAGGATAATTTGCTTATTAACATGTTCAATAAAAATCATGTTGTCAACTCAGCTGTTTTGCTTTTTTACCCAACTTTATGGGGGAAAAGAGTATTGTGTTGAGAAAATATAAATAAATGAATGAATCCTCCAGGCCAGTCGATAAGTAAAACAACCATATTCTTTAATAGTAATATTCTTTTCAATATGAGGGTGAGAACAGAAAAATAAGGAGCTTCTGTTAAAAGAATTGACAGATTTTTAATAGGTTGTTTTTATGAAAACTTCTCTGTACAGGGTTACCAATAGATTTGAAAATCTGTGATATTAACGCAGAACTTTTTAGAGTAGAATTCAAGATTAGTAGCTTCTAGTCATTGATTTTTATTGATTTTTCTCTGTTCTATCTGTAATTGGCTTATATAGGAATAGCCATACATTTTAAAGATTAAAATACTATATTGTACTCAGCTAGTCCCTTTGGTTAGAGCAGCTTCATTAACAATTATGAAAAAGGAAAAATATGGCAGAGTCTAATGGAAAACCTTCCTAATTGATAAGTCTTCCTTTCATTGAGTTACTTTTTTATTGAATTGGGCTTCATCTTTACCTAGAGCTTAGACAGATGGATCCCTGAGGAGCTAGAGTCATGAAGGAATTAAATGCTGAAGCCACTTTTAAATTCCTATACCTGTTTGTACCTAAAACAGGAAACTGCTTTTCATACACAGACTGCATGAATGACTCTGTAATTATGTAAATAAGAACCCCTGCAACCTCACATCCCCTACAACAGGACTGTTGTCAGAAGTATGGATGTTGTCTGTGGTGTTTTGTTTTGTTTTGTTCCCTGTTAACACTTAAACTCATTTCCAGTTGTGACCTCTAGCAGCTGGGCCAAACTGACTGAAGATTCAGAGTTGGGGCTAAATTTTAAATTTGCTCCTGTAATATCCATCTTGGCTTGTTTAGACCATAAAGCTAAAAATTATTCCTATCGCTGTACAAGGTTATTAATGACACCTTAAGACTAGGGAATCGTCACGGAGCATTTTGAACTCAGCTGCTTCGGTTAATTCCCCCTAACTAGCTGGTTCTTATGCTCAGTCCCTAGCAGACCTCCAACAGCAGGAAGAGGAAACCTATGCTGATGCCTGCGATGAGTTCCTGGACCCCATCATGAGCACACTGATGTCTGACCCTGTGGTGCTGCCGTCCTCCAGAGTGACTGTGGACAGATCCACCATTGCCAGACATTTACTCAGGTGAGCCGGCCCCCAAAAACAGCCTCAGGAGTACACGTGTACCTTTGTCTGCTGTCATCTTTTTCTCCCACTACAGTACTGTGCACCCAGTAGGTACCCCAGATTGTTAGTTTATTAATTTGCTGTGTGGAGGAAGCATTTTGGTAGAAGTGTATCACCTGATTGTTAAGGATGTCAACATCTGATATAAGACACTCTGTTAGGAAATGCTGGCGCTGACCTTACCTCTTCTTCTCTTCTTCAAGGAAATAATTCCTGTCAATATTTATTATATGTCAACCTGGAGTATAAGTTGACTTGAAATTGTGGCTCAGCTAGTAAAGAATCCACCTGCAATGTGGGAGACCTGGGTTCAATCCCTGAAAAAGGGAAAGGCTACCACTCCAGTATTCTGGCCTGGAGAATTCCATGGACTATACAGTCCATGAGAATCGCAAAGAGTCAGGCATGACTGAGCAACTTCCACTTTCACTTTTAGTTGTAAAATATAAGACAGGTTGTTGGGGGGTTTTTTGTTTTTAATTCAGGTTTTACACTCATCACATGGTTTTACCAACATTCTGCTCCAGCTGTTAGACTCAGCCATGGTGACTTCAAGTTTTCCTCAGCCTACCTCCTCTAAGTACAATATTAGATAGAAATGGGTACTGGGAGACTCTGCCTATTTAAAATGAAGTTATATAAGCTGACCCAGATCTAGGGAAATAATGTTTTTTAAATATTGGAAAAAAGGATGTTTTGCTTGATGGTTTGTGATTAAGCACTCACTATATGCATGGTGCTGTGCTGGGCAGTATGTCTTTTCCAAAGTGTCACTAAGAATTTATATATATATTTTTTTTTTCATTTATTTTTATTAGTTGGAGGCTAATTACTTTACAACATTGCAGTGGTTGGAATTTATATTTTTATTGTGGCTTCAGAATACAGAAAGAAGATATATTAGCCTTTAAAATATGTTATAAATCATCTTACCTGGGAGGAAGCCATAATCTGCATTAGTTGAAGAGCAGTTGGTTAACTAAATCAAGTGTCAGTCAACAAAGGTTTATCTCTTAACATCTTATACTGTTTCAGGAGTCTGTCACTAAAACTCCAAAGAGCTCTTTATGCCGACATGATTGTACAGGGTCTCTGTCCTAGGGAAATGGAATCAAATACCATCTGAAGAGCGGGGCTTCCCTGGTGGTTCAGATGGTAAAGCATCTGCCTACAATGCAGGAGCCACAGGTTCGATTCCTGGGTCAGGAAGATCCTTGGAGAAGGGAATGGCTACCCACTCCAGTATTCTTGCCTGGAGAATTCCATGGACAGAGGAGCCTGGCAAGCTGCAGTTCATGGGGTCACAAAGAGTCAGACACAACTGAGCAGCTAACATACACACACACACACACACACACAATCTGAAGAGCAATGTTGAGACAATGTTTGTTAAGCAGAGAGACAAAGTAAGTAAATAATCTGCAAAGAAACCTCTCCCAAATCACTCTCTCTCTTATCTCATTCTTTCTAACCCCAAGCTAGCACTTGATTCAGAATCATAGTAATACACTCTAGCTTCAGTCTCAGGGTGAGATGCCCAGGTATTCTGTTTTTGGCTGAGGATGTGAGAACTTACAGAAATAACCCCATCTCCCTTTTTCTCTTTGTCCCAGTGACCAAACAGATCCCTTTAACCGTAGTCCCCTCACCATGGACCAGATCCGGCCAAACACAGAACTAAAAGAAAAAATCCAACGGTGGCTTGCAGAGAGGAAACAACAACAGAAGGAGCAACTTGAATAAATACTGTGACCTAAGCAAACCAAAAACCAACCCCAGAGTGTAGATAAACAATTGTGGTTTCTCTCTTTCTGGTTCTGTTCCTTTCCTTATTCTTGCCTTTTATTTTTTATTTTTTTTTTCCCTTTACTGAATTAGAGAACTGCTCTTGCTCAAATTATGATAATTAAAATTCCTAAGAACTTTACAATGCACCTAGCTTGCAGGAAATTATACTTCTTCTAGCATCACCACATTTAGAAATCATCACTAATTTTTACCTTTTGTTATCTCTTCCTGTTCCTTCTCCCTTTTCCTACCTTAAATTATATTAACTTCAGCTATTAAAACCTCCCGCCTCCTTACTGTTTCTTCTCCAAGAACTGCTAAACATCTTTGGTGAGCACTGCTTTTAAGTATATGATATCACATGTTTCAGTGACAGCTGATATCAGAAAGTCCTATGTTATCAAGGTACTTAATAGTTCGTCTTCATGACCCAGACTTCAGCCCTTTTCCTTGTTATAGCTCTACACTGTTACAGAATAACTTTTTATATAAAAGCAGATACCCTGATGTTTGAGTAGATTTTTTTAATAAGATGACAGATGAGATGAAAATAGGAATCTTACGCAACTTCGCTGGGTAGCACTCAGTTTTGTGTTCTCTTGTAACTCGGAGATACCTTGGAGGGCAAACACTCCTCCATGGAGTTGTCATTACACAGAAAACTTAGCCCTATAATATTTTTAGGAGGATTGATAGAACAAATTTGCAGTTTTGACACTATTCAGAAAACTACAATGTGAAAAGAGAAGGCTGTTGGGGCCCTTTTTATCTACTGGAAATCAAGGACTAGGCTTGTGTAGAAAAGTTAGGCAACAAATATTGTAACCATGAGACATGTCATTTCAAGACACTAATATCAGCAGTGATCTCAGTGTGTGTATATATATATATGTATATATATATATATATATATATACACACACACACACACACACACACACACCATGTACTTTTTTATATTGGCCTTGTATAATACAGAGAACCACTTTATATTGTCTCTTCCGTGGTAAGATGTATGCAGTGTGTAGCCATGTTTACTAGCACTTACTCTAGACAGAATTCTAAGACTGTAAAATGTATATAGTTAATGTTCGTTTGGGCTTATGACCTGATAAGAGCTGCTGCTTCTAACTCAGCCTTAGGTCATCAATTAACAGAATAGGAATTTGAGCACAACCATGTCCGCAAGCCATTTTAAATATCCACTTAGCTCTATATAGTTATTTAGCAGGTGGATGGGCCCCTCACTTACAAGTTGAGCTTGAGCTCCCTACTAAATCGTGCAGCTTAACATGCTGAGTAAGTCGCATTCCCCCATGGACTGTCTATACCAGTATCCCTCTGAACCTGAAAATACAATAACAAGAGTGATATGATCTAGAAGCAGAGGTCATTGCTTCACTTCAAGGACATTATTGTTAACCACAGCCTCTTTCAAATAAGACTGTAGTTTTATGGTAATCCAATACAAATTGTTATAAGCAGTCCTTGTTGTGTTTTTGATGGTTCCAGCAGGAAACTCTGAAGTTAGAGGGCATCCCACACTAGATAAAAAGTAGATGTTGCCTGTCGCTGTGCTTATAAGTGAAAAAGGCAGTCCAGGACTCTCGCAAATACCAGAATGTATGATAGTAATTCAGTGTGTTCCCTGGGCCTTTAAGGCACAGGTTGACAGGATTTGTTTATTTTCTGAAAATGAGCTTCATTTCCTATTTATTATCTTCTACTTCTCTGAGAATGAACTGTATAAAATAAGCTTCAATCTACTTGCATTTATCTTCCAAACCCAATCAAATAGGATATTTTCACTTTTAAAAGAAGTGAGGAAAAGACCAGAGTTTTATAGGAGAAAGGAAGGAAAAAATGGGCACAAAACCTCAGAAGGCAGCTGTTCCCAGCAGCTTTCTAGTTAACAACCTCTATGCTGCCTCTTGTATCTGTGTCTGTATTCCACTTCTGTATTAAGCCTTCAGATTGTAAGCCTTTTCTGGCAATTTTTTTTTAAAGCTCTTTTCCTGAAACTTTTTATGAGTGGCTATGGCACCATGAATGCTGCTGAGTACTTTAAATTCATCACAAAAGCAAGTGCGTAGCTTAAGGCCACTGTTGGTAAGGAAACCAGTGTCCTCTGTGCCTTTTTCCTTTCCTTGACATACTTCAAGAACATCCCAAAAATGAGACTAAAAAATTATCGTCTTGGTACAACATGGTGCACATGGACACTTGGAAGCTTAAAGACGGGTGGTGGTGTCTAGAACTCAGAAGCAAGCTCTAAATCTATTAGAGCAGACTTTCTGACATAGTATGGTAGGAAAATGAAGATTCTTTAATCAGCTCTAATATTGCTTACTAAGAGGGTAATACTAAACTTGGAAAATTATTTAAGCAGGCTTTATCAAGCAATCTGGATTTGTTTGTTTTTAATATAGTTTTTAATGGATATGTGAAAACCGAAAGAAACTTCAAAGGTTTTTTTTTTTTAATGGTGCAGGTGAAGGTGCCAGTTGCTATTTGGTGTCACACTCTACAAAAGCTTCATTACTTTATTTGATGCTGGTTGCTAAGCAGCCATTGCACAGAGCATAAGTCTACTGGGTGCCTTTACAAGCCAGAGGCTGATGCTGCACTGTTGATGTCATGTGAGGAAATAATGCACATGCTCTAACTGGTAAACAGGAAAAGAAACCTGGAAACAAAATGAACAAAATGACAAAAAGATTGATTGAAATAAAACTTGATCAACATAACTATTTTGAAACATTCCAGGAAGGTTACTTGTCAAACTTGCCTGGGGGTGTTTGTTCAAAGCCTGTATTTAATAAATGAACATCTGACTTACAACCTTTGTTATCATGTCCTTTATTACAGTATTAAAAACTTAGGAGCAGTTTCAGAAATCCCTCTGAAAACTTACAGGGCTCTGAACGTCACTTTTTTTTTAAAAGGTGGTAGCAAATGTATGGCCTGGCCGACCTAACCTGCCTTACCAGGCTTCTGGACCCCGGAGTTATCTTCAGATGAGTTTTCGGGCATGTTTTTTCCTAAGCAGATCACTTTTGGCTTCACTTTTTTTCATCTGGCCTAAAGCCCAGGTCTTTTTTTTGCCTTGCCTTGCAGCATGTGGGATCTCAGTTCCCTAACCAGGGATCGAACCCTTGCCCCTTGCATTGGAAGCTCAGAGTCTTAACCAGTGGACTACCAGGGAAGTCCCCCAGGTCCTTCATTCTAATCATTCACTATCAAGTTCCACTTTCTTGCCCCTTGTTTCTGTACCCCTGCTATGCAAAACCTCAGCCCAGATTAACCCAAGCATTCCCCTCTGCTCCAGTATCCCAGCCAGACTATTGCTGAAGAAAAATAACACCATCTTTAGAGTGGTACAACTGCAGACTTGTCCCTTATGTTCCCTAACAACCCTTCTGTGTGTCCTTAACTTCAACAGCTAGTCCAAATTTCAACCTCTGACATTTTCTCCCACCCTGCCACTTGCCCTTCACACTCACATGACCTTGCCTTCTACTTCATAGCCTGCAGAATTTCCACTTTCAAACTTCATCATCCCATCTGTGGAAAAGGCCCCAAGACTCAAGGCTAATCACTCCAACTTTATTTCCAGTCTCATTCAGAATCTGGTCAATCCCACTTCTCCATCTTCAATCTCCGTTGATTTTCCTATATTTGGTTTTCTGACCAGCATCCCTTTATAGCCATATTTCTTCACTCATTCACTCTGGCTTCTATCCAAATTGTTTGAACCTGCTCTGGTTAATGTTTCTATATAGCTATAGTAATTTTCTAATTCTTAATTTTACTTCTCTGGAGTACCAGGCTGCTGAAGCGCTGTCTGACTCCTTGCTATCACTCTTGATTTTTCATTTCACCTCTAACTATTCCATCAGAGTTTTACTTCTATTTATGCTTCCCCGGGTACATTATTCTATTTTCTTCATCGAAGGCCACATCCCCACGTATATCTTTTCTTCCAGTCATATTAACCACAAAGTTCAGTACATTGCTGTTTCATTGTCTATCAACCCAAGGATCCCCTTCTCTAAGAAGACTTCCGACATCAGCACCACACATAATCCTATACTAATGCCTCTTCTGTTTCCATTGCCACCTTTTCAAATCCCAACTCTGCCACTCACTAGCTCTGTAGCCATTTATTTACCAATGCCGACCTTAAGTGAGGCCACTACCGAACACACAGGACTTTTTTTAAATTCCAAAAAGGCTGAAAGACTGGAGGCCCTCGGTAACTGTGATTTTGTCCCTTGGTATCTGCATAGTTCCTTGAGACTGGTTAGGGAATTAGGGGAACTGGATTCCAATCCTGATAGAGGAGTCAAGGGAGACGGATTACAAAAGGTCAGCTAAAGAAAGGCAATGGGCTGAGTCAGGTGACAGGTTGTGGCGCCTGCTCCGCCCCTAATTTTACGTGTCTGGTCTAGGACCCTCTCTGCCTTTGTAAGACGAGTACGTTGGCCTAGAAAAACTCGTCTCGTTCTCTCAGAAGAGCTGCAAACCCACCCCAAAAACCCGAGGTCTGCCCCTCGGGCTGCCCGGGAGGCGCAGGGCGCATGCGCATTCCCTCCTCGCGCCGGCCTTCTGGGCCTCTGCGAGCGGCTGCCCAGAGAAATGCCTGCTTCTCCGCGGAACTCCTTTGTATTTTACGTGCTCTCTGATCTCATCTTCTCCTACCCACTTTCTCTTCTGTGACTAAAGAAAAGAAACTGGCTCAGTGGATGCCGGAAAGACAGTGGGACACCTAAATATCTCGGACCGGCGCGGAAAGGGGAGGCCTGACCTTGGAAGCGGACCGGGGTCCTGCGGCAGGTCCTTCCGGGCGGGTGACATTCAGCCGGCCAGTCGGGGCGACGGGCTCTCCGTCCTAGTACCATGGCCCAGTTTGTCCGTAACCTCGCGGAGAAGGCCCCGGCGCTGGTCAACGGTGAGCGGGGCGTTAGCCAGCCGGCTCGGGTAGCTGGGCGGGCAGGGAGGCCTGCGAGGGCCCGAGGGGAGGATTCGAGCGGCCGGAGGGAGCTGGCCGGGCCTGAAGTTGGCGGGGCGGGTCGGGGGCGGTCAGGGAGAAGATAGATTTGCGGTTCTTTTCTACCCTTCCGCTGGCCTGCGGCTTGGGTTCTCTCTGCTATCCAGAGGTTCTGAACTCTGACCGCGACCGTGAGGGGAGGGAATGTGCAAACAGCCGGGGTTGCCCAGCTGCAGCCGCCATGACGCCCTTCGACCTCCAGGAGGAGGAATACAGAAGGGATGGCTGTTTTGCGAGAGCGAGGGAGACGGTTGGTAGAAATACGTGAAAGCATCGAAATACGGTCCCATCCGCTTGTCTGCTTCTCAGTGCAGTATTTGGAAGGCTGCAGAATTTCTAAGGATGTATGACCTTCGATATATTGCCTTTGCTTTTTATTTTGACCAGATACTGAGATGCTTCTCCTTTAAGGAAATTTTTAGGTGGAACTGAGCATTACGGTCGAGTATTCCTGCTCCGGTAAACACAGAAAGGGATATGTGTAAACAGTAATGTTTATTATCATTGCTTAGCGTTCGTGGGGATACTGTTTGAAAAAGTTGGATGATGTCCTTCAATGGTGGAACGTTGTGTTGGAGAACAACCCTGAATAGTCACAGCCCAGAGTAGTAGTCTTCTCAGTAAATATTTCATTTGTCTGCAAGCTATTCATTTTATCCCCAAAATGAGATCAGTTAAGTAGACGGAAGTTTCTTCGCTAGATGTGCTGTATTCTAGTAAGTGGTTGAAGCACAGATCTCTGAATGGCTTTCGCTCAGGTTTGATTGTGAAAGTGAATAGAATGAATTTTTTAATATGTGTAATATTTTTGAACCTATTTTACTGCAGTCGGTATTTTCTTATTCGTTGTCTCCTCTCTTTTCTTCATCAGCAGTGGAAAAATGAAGGCCTGACAGTGCCAGATAACTATTAATACTTGATCCTCTCCTACAGAACCCTATGGCCCACTACTTTTACTATCAGTTTACACACTTTACCAAAGAACTTACGTTTGCAACTTGACTAAGATAAAGCTCTACTTTTTTACATAATACAAGGAAAAGTAGTAGTGGCTTCATTATTTGGACTTTATGGATGATTTAAGGCTAATATTTATAATCACAAATTTCAGGTGGATTTTTTTATCCTCCTTCCATAGCTTTCACATCTTTTTGGTGGAGCGTCTTGGGGAATTGCAAACTAATTTTAATAATAATTTACAAAAAGAAAAGTAACGTGAAAGTAATTTTAATTGTGAGCTATGTCAGCCATTTCCTGTGTTATTATGAATAATTTAAAGATAAACGTTATCCTTTCAGAAGTACTCAGGAGAACTCAGCTGGGCCAGAATGTTAAAGTGGAGCTGCATTTTGCTTTGTCACTTAACTCCGTGGTATTAAATATTAATGTTAAATGTCTTTTTAAAAATTACTGGTTTTATCTGTTAATTCTCCTGGAGGACAAAGAAGCTTACAGAAATAAGTAATTTTTTTCATCAGACTTCCCCAAGAAGATCATAGAGTCTGGGGATTTTTGTTTTTATTTTTTTCCTACTTACTAAACTCGAGACTTTATTTGGATTTCACCAGCTTTTCCAGTAAATCTCTTTCTGTTCCAGGAGCCAGTCCAGGGTACTCCAGTGCCATGAGTTGTCAGTCTCCCTAGTCTCCTGTGTATGTGACGGTTTCCCGAACTTTCCTTACCTTTCATGACCTTGACAGTTTCAAGGTACTTATGTAGGTCTCTGTCTGGGTATCCTATAAGGATGTTCCGCAATTTGGATTTATCTGGTGTTTTTGTCATGATGAGTTTGGAGCTATGAGTTTTTTTTCTTTTTTCTCATTTTCTTTTTTTGGCTGTACCTGGCGGCTTGGGGGGGAATCTCTGTTCCGAGACCAGGGAGACCTGCGCCCCCTGCAGAGGAAACGTGACATCTTAATCACTGAGCCCCCAGGGAGGATCCATGGAGCTATGGGTTTTGGGAAAGAATACCACAGATGTGAAGTCCCCTAATCACATGTCAGGATGTCTAAACAAGTGATATCCAAATGTCCTCACTAGTGCAGTTAGCTTTCATCACTTGGTTAAGGTAGTTTCACTAGGTTTCTCCTAGAGGTACTATTTTTTCCTTTCCATACTCTGTTCTTTAGAAGCAAGTAACTAAATTGGGGGAGGCAGAGTCAGGATTCTGTCTCCTATAGGAGGGAATATCTACATATAATTTAAAGTAGAATTTCTTCTATGAGAAGGATATGTCTGTTCCCCATTTATTAATATTTGTTCAGTCCATACTGTATGGCTTCACCTACATTTATTTCATACCTTGTACCTCCAGTAATACATTATTTATTTTGTTGCTCAGATTGTTCCAGCCTTGGCCATTGAGAACCCTGTCAGTTTGGCACCTCTGCCCCTTTGCCATCCCCCTGTACTTTCTAGTATTGTGAGATAATTGCGACTCTCCTGCCATCCCAAATGACCTGCAGGATCTTAATTCCCCTGCAGGGATTGAACCTGGGCCCCATCAGTGAAAGCCCTGAGTCCTGACATCTGGACTGCCAGGAAATTTCCCAGATTCATATATCCCGTGCCCCAGCCTTAGAATTTGCCCTTTCTCCGAGGAACCTTAGTTCCTTTTATTGGACAATTGCATTTTGAAGCTAAGATCTAGATACTGAGTATGTTCCTTGCTACTTGACTGTGTTAGTCACCCTTTACTCACAGAATATAAGTTCTAAAACCTCCGATAGATGTCTGAAACTACAGATAGTACTGAGTCCTGAATGTTAATTTTTTCTTTTAATAGCTATGATAAATTTTAACCTATGAATTAGGCACAGTAAGAGATTAACAACAATAATAAACTAGAACAATTATAATAAAATACTGTGATAAAGGGCTTCAGGGCTTCAAGCCACAGGAATTCCTTCATGGCTCAGGAGGTAAAGAATCCACCTGCAATGTGGGAGACCTGGATTCGACCCCTGGTTCGGGATTATCCCCTGGAGAGGTAAATGGCAACCCATTCCAGTATTCTTGCTGGGAAATCCCATGGACACAGGAGCCTGGCAGGCTACAGTGCATGGAGTCGCAAAAGAGCCAAGCACGACTGAGCAACTAACACTGCAGTAAAAGCCATGTGGACATGGGCGCTGTCTCTCAAAATGATCTTTTTGTACTGTACTCCCCCTTCTTGTGAGTGAGATGTTACAGTGTGTACGTGATCGGATGAGGTGGGGAGCAGGACGTAGGCATTGTGATGTCGCATTAAAATGGAGCAGGGACGGCAGGAGATTTCATCGTACTACTCAGGCATACAATTTAAAACTTAGGGATTATTTCTGAGATTTTCCATGTAATGTTTACAGACAATAAAACTAGAAAGTAAAATCACAGATAAGGGGGGACGGCTGTACTAGAATATCATTGCCTGTAGGCCCTGATAGTGGACAAGGAGGTATCCATATATAGGCATTCCTCTACTTAAAAGAAAATTACATGTCAGTAAAATTATCACAAGTTGAGAATATTTTAAGTTGAAAATGCATGTATTATACCTATTCTGCCAAACATCGTAACTTAGCCTAGCCTACCTTAATCTCACTTAGAATACTTACATTAGCCTACAAGTAAGCAAAATCCCCTACCATAAGGCCTGTTTTTATTTTTTATTTTTTTTAAAAAAACTGATTATCTCATGTAATTTATTGAGTACTGTATTGAAAGTGAAAAAACAGAATGATTGTGTGTTGATTGTTTACCCTCATAACACATGACTCACTGTCAACTGCAGCTTGCTACCAGTACCCAGCATTAAAATAGCATTACAAGAACATATGGTACCCACTGTGGCTAGCCTGGGAAAAGATCAAAATTCAAAGGTTCATTTTTACTGATTGTGTATCTCTTTCACATTGTAAATTGAACCATCGTAAATTGGGGACTATCTGTATACTCACCCATGGATGTGTAGACACGCACAGTTGATTATTGAACAATGTGGGGGTTAGGGACACTGACCCCCATGCAATTGAAAATCCTAATATAACTTTACAGTTGGCCTTCCATATCCACAGTTACACATCCATTCATTCAGCTAACTTCAGATTATGAAGTACCGTAGTACATATTTATTGAAAAACATCCGCATATGAGTGGACCCACACAGTTCAAACACATGTTGTTGAAGGGTCAACTGTAATTGTTTCTATATCGATCCACCTGTATATCAATTAAACATGACTTTATACTGAATGTCTCCAACTCTAATCCGGTACCACTGGATATGTTTTTCCCCCATCTAAAACCCTTCTATTTTAGTAAAAAACCTAGCTGCCATCATCCACCATTCATTCACTTATTTTCTGTTCATCCCTTGTATACATGTAAAAGCAATCTCAAACTTTTAACCTGTGCTCCCTGAGAAGCAAATTTACCAACTTAAGTACAGCGTTTGTATACATTGTACTGATTTGTTTGTATTTTTTTAAGAGTATTATATCTGTGTGTTGAAGATAATTTTAAAGACAGTTTGTTGACTGTTAAGACTTTTTTCTCCTTGATAACACTATCTTACAGGCATTGGCAGTTCTGTTTAGAATTCTCTCTTAGAGCTTTGTATCTGCTTAAAGATTTACCCATGGCCCTAAGCCAGAGGATGATGGAGATAGTAATTTTAAGAGTAGTGAAATACCTAAATACAGGCAGTTAATAATAGGGGAAGTACCAGGAACTTTGCATTATCAGTCTTTGAACAGCAGACACTTGATGGATGCTTATGTATTTGTGCAATTTTTATTATGCTGTCTTGTAATTTTTTATGTAAAATACCTTTCTCCTGCTGAATCACTACCATAGTCTCCCATATAACCTTGTTAAAAATCTTTTTTTCCTGCAATAGTAAATACTGTTTACTATTACTGAGGAATTTCAGCTTAATAACAGATTCAAGTTTTGGCTGCTCCTAACAATACATGTAGGTTTTATTTTTATTATTTGTGGTATTTTGAAGGAAGAGCAGCTGTGCTTTTGTTAATCTAGCACATATTGATGAGGGTACCCAAAATGGGTACTAATTGGTATAATTCCATCTGGATTTGTGGCCAATATTGTGACAAGTTTTAATCTCATTCCTAAGGATGCCATTCTACTTAAGTTTTCTTCCCTCCCCTTCACCACTTCCCTCCAAATTTTTTGTCTCTGCAGGAAAATATGGTTACATTGCTGCTCTTTTCTTGTTTTTTAATCCAACTTCCAGTAACTTTGTAGTTAACTAGATTTGCCATTAATAAATGAAGTACCAGTACTCTAGTATTGGCCACTGGTGAAGTCCTGGCATAATTGGATGTGCTTATAGCTTCCTGCCTGACTGAACTGGCTTGTGACACAGGTGTTCTGTATCTTTAAACGCCTCTGGTTACCAGGGAGCAGCTTTGACTCTTCACACCGGGTGCACATTTGGTATAAGCAGTGAATGAATGTGATGCATGAATAAATATTTGTGTCCAGCCCACACATCTGCTTCTTTCGGTCTCTAGTGAGTTCATCCTGGTTTTTTGTTTTGTTTTGTTTTCCAGCTGCTGTGACTTACTCGAAGCCTCGATTGGCCACGTTTTGGTACTATGCCAAGGTTGAGCTGGTTCCTCCAACCCCTGCTGAGATCCCTACAGCAATTCAGAGCTTGAAAAAAATTATCAACAGTGCTAAAACCGGTAGCTTCAAACAGCTCACTGTTAAGGTAACTATGGGCTAAATGAAAACGTATGTGCATACAGAAAAAGTCTTCCTTTGGGATTTCTCTGATTGTTTTGATTAATATATGTATTTTTCAGTGAGGCTGGAACCAGCATAATGAGAGATGATCTCTTTTTTGACTGTGGAGAAAGATATTTACCTTTCTAACTTTGTCATCTGGGTTGAAATAATTGGACTGTTTTATGTCTTATATTCCTAATAATCTTATAATGAAGAAGTGGTTTATTTTTACTGGGTAACTTTTTTTTTTGTTTCCTATTTGGGGTTAGTGCATTAAAATAGGATCACTTGCTTTATTGATTCTGTACTTTTTTGTCTGTAGTCCTGAAACTTTCCCCAATTTGGCCAAAATATTTCTTGGACTATATCACAAGTCAGGTAACTTAACATTCATGGGACAAAAATACCAAAACCTGGAAGCATATAATATGATATGAAGGGTGGAGATAAAATCTAAAGACTATAAAATTAGAATTTGCAGACTTCCCTGGCGGACTGGTGGTTAAAACTCATACTCCCAGTGTCAGGTGCACAGGTTTGATTCCTGTTCAGGGAACTAAGATCCCACATGCCTCTCAGCACACTCCCCCTGCCACCGCCCCCCGGCCCCCCGCCACAGAGAGAGAATTGGAGCTTGGATTTTACATTTGCTTGATCTAAGCACAGGATACAAAAAGCCTAAATAAATTTTTGCTGGCTTTAGAACATGCATTCTAGAAAATATATTTGTTTTTCAAGAGATTTCCAGTATTTCTGGTTTCATTTGAAGGGGGAAATTCACTTCCAGGTGCTAAAAGAAAAAGGCCCAATTTTGTTGTGGAAAGGTTTTGTTTTTCAACTTGAGTTTCAAGATCCATATTTGTGCTTGTATGAAACCCTGTTTTCTGGAACTGTGTACATACTTTTTTTCTTAGGGCAATAAAACACTCATCTGTGAAACTGAGTAATTGCTGAATACTTGGGAAGAATTAAACCAAATAATAAATGAATAAAGACGATGTCTAAAGGGAAAGATAGAATATGTCATCTTGCAACAGAGTTTCTTTGGCCAGATAGAAATGTCTATTCAGAGACTTGCCTTCCTATAGCCATCCTTTCATATGAATGCCCTTTCTAAATGTGGCAGCTATTTCCAGGATGTGGGTTGTTTTAGGGCTCATAAAGTGTCTCATAAACTAATAATGAAAGGGTTAAGTCAGTTCAGGCCTTCAAAGAATGCTTTGAAAGAATTTATAAGCTCTGGACTACTTACCTTACATAATTGAAAGTTCAAGGGTTCTTAGCAGTTACAGTTAACATCAGTAATTCTTGACTTTGACTAAAACTGCCTTCTAATTTGAATAGCATCTTTATATTCTCTGTCACTTAATCCTGGAAAAGAATAGTTTTAAATATATAAGAAAAAAATGTACATTAAAATTTGTGCTTCTTTTTTCAGGAAGCTCTACTGAATGGTTTGGTGGCCACTGAGGTGTGGATGTGGTTTTATGTTGGCGAGATCATAGGCAAGCGTGGCATCATTGGCTATGATGTTTGAAGACCAATTTTTAACATGTGATTATATTTGCTTTATTATTCAAGTGTTCTTGGACCATGTGTGAACAGACTGCTATTTGAATAAAATAAGACAATGTGTCAGAATCAGTGTTTTCTCTATCAAACACTACATGGAAGGTCACAATTTCTCTTGATATTAAGTTGGATTGTCTTTTGCTTCAGTATATTAATACAGCTCTAAATGCATGCCTTTGCATATATACAATTTGGAAAATGTATATATGAGTATACCAACCTGGTACCTGTATAAATGAGGTTAACTTTATTTTGAAGGCTTGAAACAAATGATGTTTAAGCTTTATTTCTAGAAGAGCTCGGGGAAAGGTTTTGAGAAAATGAGAACTTGCTCCAGTAGGAGAAATAATAATACCATGTGCTAAGTATGATAGTTAAATCATGTAGCATTAAGAATACAATTTGGACTGTTTTTCTTCGCAAAAATCGGAGAAAGATCCCTTTGACAACACCTTTTTGTCAGTTTGAATATAGCCTCCCAAAAGAACAGCATGATGATAATCTGTGTATCTTTGTAATATCTTTAACATTAGGACAGAGTGAATGAGAGCGATAACATATTTTTCATCTGATTTTGATATTTGTTACATTATTAATCTGTCCAGTTTTTAAGGACCTATCTTCACAAAAATAAAGTATCATTTAACAGGGTTATGATTTAGTATTGTCCTTGGGTCTAAATAGTATATTATGTCCTGAAATAAATACAAGTGATTAGTATCAGTCTGTCATCTTGAGCCATTTTATTGAGGATTGGGAGTGATTTAATCATTGATTGTCATTTCCTGGGGTTCTTACCATCTATGAATAGCTTGCTGGTACGTTTCTAAATCAGTGGTGACTCTCTTGCAGCCACTGCATAGCATGGAATAGCAGCTGATGATAACCGAAAGATGATTACATGTTGGGAAAGCATGGCTCACAATATAGTATTAATCCTTTCATAGCATTGAACCTTTATCCAGTCAGTCCCAAATTTATCAGCTGGTTCAGAACGCTGCTGCTTCAGCCAGTAAAGGGCACAGCTTTTCTTCGTGATAGGCAAGAACTCTCCATGGAGATACTGCTACTCTGAACTGTGAGGTAATGCCTAGCTTACTGCAGGTGGTCAAAACTGAAACTACCTCTTTTCAGAAGCATTCAGTAACTTAAAATATGCATAGCAGAAGACTGAGAAAACCCTACTACAATAATGGTGATTTCCATGAGTTTCTCTATTGCATGTGTAAGTGAGTAGTGCAATTAATTTTTTTAAATTTAAAGGTATTACATGGTCCGCTGGCACTAGTAAGAACTTACAGAGTGTAGTTGATTCATGATATGTAATGTGATTTTGTTTTCACCACAGGGTCACACCAGAAAGTCCTCAAAATAAATATTTACTACTCACTTCACTGCTACTTCCTCCTCCTTTGCCATCTGGCACACCTCTGGTGTATGGTGGCTAACAGTGTATGTACAGCATTCTCTTGTGTTAAAATAGCAGTGGACTCCATGAAGCAGCCATTTCTGCCGGCCTGTTAATTTTGAGCTCCTAAACCCCAAATGTCTTGCCTCCTAGCACAGAACTGTTTAGACTATCCTTCACTGAAGTTTTTGTGTCAGGTTTTTGCTATTGGCAACTTCAGTGTACCTCAGGTATTTATGGTGCACCTCCTAAATCCAGGTATGCTAAATGGTAGGAACATTTCATGAGCAAGAGTGTTAACTGTTCACAGAGCTTGGTCTGGTTACTCTTAAGCATACAGTTGGGGTAACGTATTCTGTAATGAAGAAAGTACAAGGTGTGAATGGAAGAGTTCAACCCAGAGTCCCAAAGAAAGGGATTCTAGGGAGGCTGTCAGAGGACCTAATATCTGAAGTAAGCCAGAAGAGTAAGAACCACAAAAAATGAAACAGGTATGCTGAACAGGTAAAACAGCCTTGCAAAAACTAGTAAGTGAGAGAAGATCTGGTGCATTTGAGGTGGTTCTGAGAGCACAGTACAGCTGACCAATTACAGAGGAGAGTAGTGAAGGGAGACCAGAGATAGTGGGGACCAGATCATAAAGTGTCTTTATTAAGGATTGGACTGTGTTAAGGACAGGAAATGAGAACCCATTGAAGGAAGTATATATGCTTCCCAAATTTCTAAGGATAGCTCAATATAGCTTGCTTTTTTATTTTTTCTTAAGTTTTAAATTATTTTTTTTCCATTTATTTTTATTAGTTGGAGGCTAATCACTTTACAATATTATAGTGGTTTTTGCCATACATTGACATGAATCAGCCATGGATTTACATGTATTCCCCATCCCGATCTCCCCTCCCACCCCACCCCATCCCTCTGTGTCTTCCCGGTGCACCAGCCCCGAGCACTTGTCTCATGCATCCAACCTGGGCTGGTGATCTGTTTCACCCTTGATAATATAATATAGCTTGCTTTTTTAATATTTCATATTTTGTATAGCACTATCTCATTTAGTCCTCAGCTTTCCTCTGAGGCATGTGGCATAAATGGTAGACCCACTTAAGAAGTCAGGAACTAAGCATCAGAAACACTCGGTGATTTGGCTAGGATCCCATACTCAGTGGGACCACAGTTGGGCTCCAGGGGTGATCCCACATAGTCTCTGCCCCTCCTTTACTCCTTACATACTGTCCTCTGTTGAATCACAGTTCCATTCTGTGTTGTATATTCTCAGTGCTGTCTGTAAATTCTCAGTCCTTTGCCCTGCTGTCAAGCTGTTAAGCTTTCTTGTCCCATTAGATGTCAGGCTACCTAATCTTAATGTAAAGTGATCTCTAGTTTTGTGAGACTTAATATTTCCTAATTAGTGTGGTTTTCATTTCTACTGAAATACAAATTGGTAGATCACTTTTCAGATGAATACAATAGCAATTCCACCAGAGATTCCCTTATCAGACCTGTTTACCCAATGAAAGGCCCTGATACTATTAAAATACTGATAAAATACATGCCAGGCCTTTATCCTTGACAATATGCCTTAGCCTTACTTGAATCTCATTCTGCTACCAGTCAGGGTTTCAGCCACAGTTTTTAACCAGTCCCCATAAGGCTCGAAGCTTTAATTTTCAGATTATGTACCCACTGCCCCTGACTTTTGCAGTTTTCTACCACTCACCAGGCCTCTCTATATTTCTTGGTAAATTTTTTCACCTGGCTATGTCACTCTACAAAACTGTTTCTGTCTTAATTCTGGGTAATTTCAACATACACATGGATTGGTAGTTTTCAGAGAAAGGAAACTTAGAAATTTAAAATTCTCAGGCCCTACCTAGAACCTACGTGTGGGATCTGGCAATCTGTTTCAACTGGCGCTCTAATTTCTGATGCATGCTAAAGTTTGAGAACTGTTGACATAACTGATGCTTCCAACAAACTATCCTCAGTTCCCTTAGAAAGTCCAACAGTTATGTCTTCACCTTCCTTGGGCACTCATTCCTGTCATTACCAAGAAATTCAACCACTCCATAGTTCCAGTTTCACACATCCCTTTCTCTGATCACCTGTTAATTATCTTTCCAGCCCATTCCCTCTAATAGCCCAACTATTAATTTGCAGTCACCATGACCATCAATAAATTGACACCTCCCTCACACCTGATGTCCTCTTTGCCTTCCTTACCCAGTTTGTTTATATTCCATAGTCTGTCAGGATCACTGTCTTAAACCCTGAACTGCCTTGCCTCTCATTTTGTTGTATTCATTTGCCAAAACCACATCCTTGGCCAAATCCGCTTAGTCTTAGTCTGTACTTGCACCCATGTAGCTGAGTGCAGCTGGAGGAAACAGCCAAGGTGGCTAGTCTCCACTATATTCATGATCAAAACCTTAAGAAGACGCTTAGTGCTACCTGACAACCACACTGTGTTTCTCTGGGCTATGATTTGTGTCAGCTGATGACCTGGCTTGCTACTTAACTGAAACTGAAACAATTGGAGAACTTCATTGACTCCCACAGCATCATCTCACATGCTGCTATCTGCACTCATAAATATTCTCCACCCTGCCTAGATTATGCTCCTTTTTAAAGCCAGTCCCTCTATTCAAGGTCTGTGCTGCTCTTATTTCTGCCCTTTTCCTACATCATTAGTTACTCCCACTATTCTGTTGTTCCTAAGAGTGTATATACGTATTATCTACCCCCCCCTTTTTTTTTTACAAAATTAGCCCTCTTTTGCAGCAAAACACCTTTAAAGTTATCAGTATTCGATGTCTCCAAATCCTTTTCTCCCTTCAACCCATTCCAATCCAGCACTCATTCCTACCACTCCACTGAAACAGCTCTGACACATTAAATGGGTCACTTCTCAATCCTCACTTCATTTGATCTTTCAGTAAAATTGGCCTCAGCTATTTCCTCCTGCCTGATGCACTCTCTGATAGACTTCCAGAGCTTTCCTTTGGCCTTCCTCCTTCCTTAGTTTTTGTTCACTTCTCAGGTTCCTTTTCTGGTCTCTCCTTTGAACTATTCCAAACATATAGCTCAGTTCTCCCTCCCTCCCCCTCCCCCCATCATTCCATTAAAAATTTCCCTTAAAGGGAGGTCTCATCTAGGTTTATGGTTTGACACATATTAACTGACAACTCTCATATTTATAGCTGTAACCTATACCTCTCTTCTGAACTCTAGGTTTATATGCCTCCCCACCTCCACTTGTGTGTTTAATAGGCACTCAATATATCCAAACTGAACTCCTGATTTTCTTCCCCATCCCCACCCCAAACCAGCTCCACAGTTTTCTCCCTCTTAGCTGAAGGCAGCTCTGTCCTGGTTGCCCAGGTTAAAGACCTTTGGAGTCATCCCTGATTCCTGTCTTTAATGTTCCACATCAATCCTTCAAGAAATCCTATTGGTTCTACCTTCAAAATATGTCTATCTCTTACGACCTCCACTGCTAACACCAAAGTGCTGTCCTCTCACGGGGACTGCTGAAATGCCCTTATAAATGGCCTCCCATT